ACTAAAAACTTCCCCCTCTCCTCTCCATTAACTTGTAAGAAGAAAATAGGGCAAAAACTTTTGTAAATAAACATTTTTTTATTGTGAACTCCTGAACTTTTAAACATTTTAAAAATTGGAAATAAGTTTAGGATTTTGAGATCAAACAATGCTAACATATAAAAATAAAAACTAAAATTTCACAATAAAGTTTGTTAAAACTTTAAACATTTCCGTTTGCTACAGGGTGTCCCAATAAACATAGGAATTCAGTGACGAATTCTTTATCGTCTTTTTGAATAATTCTTTGATTCAGTATAGTGATACCTACTGAGAAGGCTGTAATATGTAAGAGTTTCGTCTGCTATGTTCACATTTACTTTTGTTTGTTAATGTTTTGACTTCATACGGTTGTACTTAGTAAAACAAGAAAATTGCAGTATACAAACAGAGTAAACTTGTCCGTCTTCACTGTTCATCATAGACACATCTTTAAAGTCTTTTACCCTTTTCATAAAATAAACTCTATGCAGACATAATAATATTATGGCTTTTGAAATTAGGTATTACGATGCTAATTCATTACAAAGACGATATCGAATATGTCACTGAATTCCCATGTTTTTTGGGACACCCTGTACCAAAAATAAAGGATTCCACTCCACAATTAAAGACTCTTTTGTTACCACAATTAACGGTTCCGTTAGCTGTTACCAGTTCTAACTGTTTAACTGTTACCATCAAACATTGAAATGTTAACCCTATCCCCGCTGGGGTACTTGAAAACCAGGATACGCTGGGGGGGGTCAGAGCAAACCTGATGTTATGAAACAAGAGAATTTGTGGTGGAGGGTGATAAAAGAGAGAATAAGGATAAAATTAAAGAGAATTATTTTGAACCAAAATAAATACTTCGAGAAAATGTCACTTAATACAGATTCACACAGTCTGAAAATTCAAAACTGTGAAAAAAATGATTCCTAAGCTTTTTCAATTAAAATAAGCAATTTGTAGCTCATCAAAACTCTTTAAAATTCACTGATTCACAATTAAATATTACATGGAGCAAAACAGGGGTAAAATTTAAAGGTATACTCGTAAAAAAAATACTTCACAACCCTACGCACCCAGGACTAACCATGGGGCAAGTTTATTATTCTGTTTATCAATTTAATCACATTTTGGTTTATAATTTAACAGTTGCTCTAAATGAACTGAGTCTTTCTAGATTAATATTCTGTTTCATCCATTTAAACTCAATTACATTTTGAATTATAATTTAACAGTTCTTCTAGAGGAATTGAGTCTTTGCCACACACTCAAATATTTATACCCCTATTTCTAATCTTTAGAAGCCAATGTTGGGGTCTGTCCTAGTATACGATTTTTGGACCCCCCCCTCCTATCAATTTTGTACATGACCATTTATTTTTCAGCAAATTTATTATTATTTATTTTTTTGTTATTTAGGGTTAGGTTAGGTTAAGATACTTTCTGGGCCGAGCGCTGCGGCTAGGATGGGCTAGGGGGCCGAGCGCTGCGGCCACGGGTTAGGTTAAGTTAAGAAACTTCTTGTCAGACCCATGTACAAAATTGATAGGAGGGGGGGGTCCAAAAATCGTATACTAGGAAATTACCCAATGTTGTAAACCTTTGATATTTTAAACTCAGATTATTTGAGTTAATAGAATTCTTAGTTTGAAATATCTAAGGTCTACAACATTTGGTTCTAAAGATATAGTGATAAGAAAATCAGAGTTTGTGGAAAAGACTCAATTAATTGTCTTTTCCTATTTTTTATTTAAACTTATCCGCCGATAATAAAGTTTGAAAGAGAAAAAGAGAAAATATCTGTTTAAAAGGTCAAATTATGATCTAAAGTTATGGCTTGCTGAGGCAATGACCGAACCGAGAAATCAGTATGTGCGTAAATTTAAGTACAACTTGCTTGACAGTACAGAAAACAGGTAAAATTTAGAAATTTCATAAAATATTAAAATATTGATTATTACCTACATGAACACAAAGTACTGGTGAAAAGGATGTTGCGGCTAGGACCGGAAGGGTTTATTAAACCATAACATTACTCTGTACTCCTCTAACTTTAAAACTATTTAACTTAATCAATAATTTCTTATTAAAACCTTAATAAATGTCAGCTATTTATCATGATATTAGAGTTCACTAAAGTTTACGTATTTGAATCTGATTCGTCATGATAGTGTTATCTCGAATGATGTATATAAATTTACACGGTTATCAGTTATCAATAACTTTACCCTCACTACGTGTTCTTGTATGCTATACTACTAGTGCCTTACTAAGGTAAAGGTATTCGTTTGTAGTTAACTGTTTGGGCCCAGGAATATCCTTCAAATATTTTCAACATTTAAAAATTTATTTTCATTTTTACTATTTGATTAAATACGATAAATTCAGATAAGTAATCTGATCAAATATACTTTGTAAGGATTTCCAGGGCCCAAGCTAATGTGATATGACAACAGATATATCGTTCAATATTTCAGTTTTTATCCAGATTCCATATTTTATTTGAAAGCTTGCTATTTCCTCCCCTTTCGGATGTAATCGGTTCGATAAATTTGAAAGTTAACATTGCACCCTTAAATACCTGGCCCATATGCAGAATGGTATGGGGGAGGTCCCAAGAGGGGGTACTGCACCTTGGTTGGAAAATGTTAATGGAACAAGATTAGTGGAAAATTTAATTTTATTAAATTCCGGTTACTTTACTACTGGGTAAACTAGAATATACTTTACTACTGGGTAAACTAGAATATACTGCATTAAACATTAAACCACAGCTTATTTTATTAAATTATTGCATTAAACAATAAAAACGGCCTACTTTCTTTAATTTCAGTTTATATTTATAAATTAGAAAAAGTCTGATTTCAAGGGAAAGCATTTTGATGTGAGTGTGTCAGAAAAACAAGTTTTCCTTAAACCGAGATTTTTTTCCAATAAATCTTTCGAGATATTTTCTCATAAATAGAAAGTTAGGCTTAAGTAAAAATATTTTAGATTGTTTAATATTTTGTTTAGTTCCTCTAAAAATCTCGAAAGATTTATAAAAAAGAGTCCTCGATGTAAGAAAAACTTTTTTATTTGACATACTCACATCAAAATAAGTGATAAGTCAAGAATTCGATACTTGAAAAAGAACATCTTGAAAGGACAAAGGCAATGGCTTGGACATGAAATTTAGGAGAATGTGGCTCGGACGAATAAATATTGTGGCTCGTCTTTTAGCCCTCAAAACACGTTTAAACTGCATTAAATTGAATAATTTTATTGATTTTTGGTAGGGAAAAGGGTTTGCTAAGGAGGGGGGGGGGATTGAATAAAGGTGAGGGTAAGATTTAACTAAGTAGGACCCCACCCTGCACTAACCTATGTTTCTGAGCAAAATTAGAACTATTTGGTTGGCAGATTTAAAAAGAGGGGTTCCAAAAAAAACTAAAAAGGAATTATTAATCGATTTGGAGAGCATTTTGTTTCTTTTTGGCATCTGAATATAACTAAAAACTGAATTTTTTAATTTTACATATATCGTTTATTTCAGACAGCTCTCGCCTGTTTTGCTCATTTTTTACCTCTACAAGATATTGAGAAGCTAATTTGCATCAGAACACAAATTGTTTTGCAATGTTTTCTTTTTTAAATGAAGGAATGATGATGTCATACATCATAAAACTCTGTTAAGAATAGACATTTTTGATGTGAGTGTGTCAGATAAACAAGTTTTCCTTAAACCTAGCTTCTGAACTACCTGAACCTTCTGTTATTTTTCGTGACTCCTACCCTTATAGGACTTAAAGTGTATTTGCAAACGTTACAAAGGATAGAAGGAGGGAGTGGTTCTGAAATGTTTCAGTTTATAGAATTTCAACTGCAAGTACGAAGAACAATATAAGTTCAAGATTTTAAATAACAAAGTATAAGTGGGATTAAGATTTAAGTTGTTACAAGATGTATATAAAAATGTAGGTACCGTCAACAATATTGAGTTAAGGATTTTGTAAATCTTTAAAGTTATAGTTTAGCTCAAATACATAATTCATCTATTCTATACGGAACAAACAACCAAGTTCAGGAACAATAACTCAAGGAGTAATTGGATCCAGTTTATTAAAATTTTTAACAATGAAATTAACTCAGGAAAGTCCATTTGTTAGTAGGAAAACATCCCTCCGCCCCCCCCCCCCCTCGACACTGAGATTCTTTATTGGGGCCACTGCCAACGTTAATCCCCCCTGAATCTATTATACAAAATTAAGAATCCAGACACTTAAAAATGCTGTCACTAATGTACAATGTACACGTACATGACACAATAGCGTTACTAACTTCTAAAACGAAATAGTCTTTAAATAGCGTGGACATTTGAAAAACAAAGCAAAATTTACTCCCAGATTAAGATACGTTTTTTTATCGTCAATTATTGTTTTCCGTACCTTTGTATCGTTAGATTCTCGTATGCAGACAAAATCGCAATTTTCACAACACAGTCAAGAAAATCACTTTGTAATAATTTTAAAATTAACTTTTGTCCTTTTTTTCTCCGAATTTGAATTCGTTGTTTGAATAATTTCGTGCCAGGAGTCAGGGTCACACTGGATATCAACAAAACCACCAGACAGTCAGATAGATAGATAGATAACAAGGCAGGTAGATAACCATATAGGTGCAGTGGTTGATATTGTGAGACAGGTAGATATTTACAACCAAAACCAGTTTATAGAGTTTATTAAAGAAATTTCTCTTACCATTTTTCTTTTTTCTTTTTTAAAAGGGGAGTAGATGCTTATAATTCAAAACTGTTGAAAGAGATTCATCTTAAAATTTATTCGTAAACAAAACTAGGTGACGTTGAAATCACTAGAACTATGAACATGAAAGTCGTTTTCCAAAATGAGTTTTAAAACTATTTTTTTATTGTTGAATTATAATGGAAGATACTTGTATATTTTCTTAACGGAAAATTTAAAAGTTTTAACCTGGAGTTTTATCCTCTTCCGTTTCTCGTAGGACTTCTTGGTTTTCAGCCTGTTCTTCATTTCCGAGCAAAGTTGCTACACCCTATAATTGTAAACTAGGATTTTATTAAAGCAAAATTGCTGTAACCTTAATGCGGGAGAAGTTGCTACACCCTATAATAGTAAACTAGGTTTTTATTAAAGACAAATTGCTGTAACCTTAATGTAGGAGAAGTTGCTACACCCTATAAAAAAACTAGCTTTTTAATAAAGAAAACTTGCTGTAACCTTAATGTAGGGGAAGTTGCTACACCCTATATTAGAAAACTAGCTTTTTTAATAAAGAAAACTTTCTGTAACCTTAATGTTGGAGAAGCTGCTACACCCTACAATAGAAAATTAGCTTTTTATTAAAGAAAAATTGCTGCAACCTAAATATAGGAGAAGTTGCTACACCCTATAAAAGAAAACTAGTTTTTTTAATAAAGAAAACTTGCTGTAACCTTAATGCAGGAGAAGCTGCTACACCCTATAATAGAAAACTAGCTTTTTTATTAAAGAAGACTTGCCGTAACCTTAATGTAACCTTAATGCTACACCCTATTATACAGTGAATCCCGGATATATGAATTCATAGACCGTCATAAGTTTTTTGATAATTCTAAAGAAACTTTTTTTATTTTTAATTCAAGGTAAATTAATTGCCCTGAAATATGAATTCAATTAACATATTAACATTAAACTCATTTTTCCACGGCATTTAATCTTAAATATGTGATACGACATTATAAAAAACTCTTGCTATGTATTCATATACAGGGTCTTTGATATGAATTAGCATTCTAATACCTAATTTCAAAAGCCATAATATTATTATGTCTGCTAGAGTTTATTTTATGAAAACGGTAAATGGCTGAAAATATGTGTCTATAACGTCTCCGCAAGATAAACAGTGAGGACGGACAAGTTTACTCTGTTTGTATATTGCAATTTTCTTGTTTTACTAAGTACAACCGTATGCAGCCAAAACATAAACAAACAAAATGTAAACATAGCAGACGAAATTCAGTAAGTATCACTATACTAAATCAAATAATTATGTAAAAAGACGATATCGAATTCGTCACTGAATTCCCATGTTTATTGGGACACCCTGTATCTGGGATTCACTGTAGTAAATTAGTTTTTTATTAAAGAAATATTGCTTTAACTTTAATGAAGGAGAATTTGCTAAACCCGAATTAGCGAGATAATAATAATTTAATAAAATGACCCTGTAGAAAATAGAAAATTCAGGATGTAGAAGTTTGTTTATCCTGTTTAGTAAACTGATGAAAAAAATCATGGTTAGGAAGTTGTTGTCTTTTTATTGTAAAGCGCAAAATTTAGAAGGAATATTAAAAATCAGCGCGAATTAAAAGAATACTTAAAAATGTTCGTTTTTCATAGAACCTAAATCTCTTTCACACTCCATAAAGCTTTTTTTACTTTTTTTTAACATTAGAAATAAATCTATAATTTTTATTTCTAAAAGTTGTTAGTTCATCGCCGAAAAATACTAACAATCCACAACCAATTTATATTAAATTTAGTGTAAACAATAAATATGTAACTTTCCTTATCCTTTCCTTTTCCTTTTATTTATATTTTTATATTTTTTTTTAAATTGAGGGAAAATATTCCCACAACCTCGTCTTTTAGAGGTTTTTAAATATTTTCTCCTAAGACACTTTATTTTGTATGTTTTTGTTATATTTCATAAATAAATGATTTTTTACTTTACTTTAAGTCATTAACATACATGGTTACATGATATTAAGAATGAGACTTTAAACTCTTGAATATTATGATACAGTGGAAGGCGATTATAAAAAACAAGGAAGACGACTTTCTATTTCAATTTTGATTTTAATTAAGCTGCTAAACGGTATGGATACACATAAGCATAGAAGTCAAGAAAATCTGTCAATTAAAAAAGCTTCTCTTTGATTACTTGTAAACTTGGTATTCAAAAAAAAAAGGTTGATAAACCAAGAAAACTGAAACAAAAAAAGACATCTTCATTGTACTGATATATGTGCCTACCTACCACTGTATTAAGTTTGAACTTGGATTTCCATATACCCAAATATTGGCTTTTAATAGAGTGCTAAATCATTTGGCAAGGACAATATAGTAAAGTTTGTGGCTGCTGGGTTATCCTGTATTTTCTTTAACAATCTGTAGACTACCTGTAAAAATTGGTTAAAATCTATTAGGTTGGGTTCAGATCCCTCATCATCAAATTTGAATTGTAAACGGTTTATCAGTTTTTCAGGATCCTGCAAGAGAGAAAAATCAAAAATAGAAAACAAAATATGAAATATTCAAATGTTTTCTACTTTAGATACAAACAAACGTTAAAAAATTAATCTTATGTTCATTTGTTAATTATGTAATAAGCATAGATCAAAGAAAATTCAAAGCGCTTCAAAACACAAATTGTGACAACATTGTCAAAATTGAATTTATTTCAATATATTTCTCGACTGAGAAAAAGTCAGCTATTGGAAATCACAAATCGAAGAAAATTAATTGCATACCTTATTATGATCATTGCATAGTTGAATCAAATGATCAATCGAAATCAATCCATCATTATCTGTATCACAGTGATCAAAAACAGGGCGAACCTAAAATATAACTTTTATTTTTCAATTATCCTAATATTTTGAACGAAAGCATTTGTTCCAAAAATTGAAGTCATTTATTAACGAAATTAAAACTAATATTTTAATTTGAATTAGCATTACTGATTTCTTATTCATTTGACTAAAAAAGGAAGAATCCTACTTTCATTTTTTCTTCCGAGCCACCGCAGTTAAGAATCCCTTTTATTGGATGGAACAAAATTATAACCTGTATAAATAAGAATGGGCTCGGACGTTGAATTGAGGTGGCTCATCTCTCCCTTTCCAGTAAAATGTTATACCTGTTTTTCTAATTCTTCCATGCTCAGAGCCATATTGTTCATTAATTTTGGTTCTTCGTGTTCCTCAACAGTACTCTTTGATTCATTAATAGAGTTGAAATCTCCTTCAGGTTTAATCTCAATATTGTATTCTATTTCGTCGCTTTCAGCTGATTCAGCATCAATCTCTTCCTGACGTATCAATCTTGGAGATTTGTTCTTTTTAGGTGCATGGTCAAATGATCCGATTAGAGTATCCTTAACACTGTACACTGAAGTTGTAGGTTTCTCCCGTTCTATTTCCAGATCATCATTTTCATCCTCAGAATCTTCAAACCCTTGAATCTCTGTCACTTCACTTGAATCATAAGGCAAGGAATCTGTAGTATCTTCTCTTGGTAGATCAAGCAGACTTGTATAGTCCTTCTCAGATTCAAGTGTATAGGCCGGGTTGGGTTGAAGACTGGTGAATAGAGAAGGTTCGGTGAGAAACCCAGACTTGGGATCAACTATCCCGAGATGGAACTTTGGTTTCAATGGATCCTCAGCTCCAGGTTTGGATTCAGGTTCAAGGAAGGAAAGAATATCTTGAGGTTCTGGATTTATTATTTGAGGATCTGGAAGGATCTGTACATTGTCTTTTGGTCCATTAAAAACATCTTTTGCTGAAGATTTCGTGGAGAATCCGGTTCTCTCTTCTTTAACTAAATCATTGAAGAAAAACCCCGAGGATAACTCAGACTCGTCATTCTAAATTCATGATAATGTAAATATAGATATAAATAAAATGAATATTTATATTCCAGTGATTTGAGGTATTGAGCACTTGAGAAGTAGTTGAACCTGCGGTGGGTAGATCAGCGACCTCTCTCCAATTCGTTAAATTATTTTCCTGGTCTAGGGTTGAAAACTTGAGGCGGGATATTTTGCAATTGAATCGCGTTGTTTTACCTGATCAAGTGATGTCGAGAGATCAAGACATATACGAGATAAGATACAAATTCCAACCCAATCTCAAAAATAAACAAAGAAAATAATTCTTCGCTCTAAGTTTTGCAAAGAAAAAGAGAAAATCGGAAATAAGAGTTTGTGGCAAATTCTCAATTCCTTTCCATTCCCATAGACTTTCAATCATATTTAAGAAAATATTAATGCTTTTAAATTAATATTTCGCTTAAAACTTGTTTCACGGCAAGCACTGGAACTGGATTTTTGAACATTCCTGGAAAATATGAAACTGTCGTCTTCAATATAAGAAAATTCTAAAACAGGAATGAATGTATTCAAAATTAACTATCGGATCATAAAAAATTAAAAATATTATGAAATATCAACTATACGAACGAGTCGAAAAAATACGATGATTATATGTTTTAATATCTGAATGATATGTTTGGAATTAAATTGATTTTTTTACGATCCAAGTCGAATATTGCAACTTTCTGAATTTGTATGGACGCTGTAGATTCTTCGGTATGAGTCGTTTTTAACAATTTTCTTCTTATAGACGTAAAAGATATGATTAAGATTAAAGTAGCAATCACCACTGAATATTTTTCGACGTAAGCCTATAACCCCTTTTATTTTTCGCGAACACTCCCTTTAAGATCAGTGAGGACCAACCATTGGTAAGTTGGGACAATTTAGTGGTCATCTGGGTGAATATGACATTAAAATGGTAAGCCGGGAGAATAATTTGGGTTTGAAAATGATCTTAGTTGGAAAGTGAGAGAAAAGTAATGTGGTCACCAACCTGTGGAAGGTCGTCGTTGATGGAAAGAAGATCACTGGCTTGACTGTTCTCCAAAGTAACTTCATCCTCATCCTCCTCTTCATCAATATCTTCAGCTTCTAGGATTTAATTAATTGTAATCACGTTATTTTAAAGTATCTTAAGGGACTGTAAGATAAATTTTAAGTACAAAGATGGCAGTTCTCTACAAAATTGACTTTCGCTTTCCTTGTTTTTAAGAGACCATGGATAAATTTTTAGAGTTAAACACTTTTTTAGTCAGAAAAACTTTATTAGATTTCAAGTTTTGATCAGATTAAGGTTTTAGGGATAACATTAAAAATTGGGCATTGGTATCTTTTTTTGGATGGTCACTTGAAACTACTCTTACAGTCTCTTTAACCTTTTCTTTTATAAATGCATAAATATTACAAATATTTCATTCATTTTAAATCTTTAAAAAAATCATCGACCCTGGAAAAGGGAATTTATCCCGTCGAAAAATCAAAAAGAACTAAAAAGTTAACTACAAATATTTAGCTTTAGAACCAGCATTTCAACCATCTATCCGTACTTTAACTATATCATTTTTTAGGATTTGACCAAAAAAATTAAATTTTTAGAAAAATACTGCTTATTTAGTTTCACCTTCAAGTCTTTTGTTCTGAGATGTTCCAAAATCAGGATTACTTGAGTCGTTCGTATCTTATTTTCAAAACATTGTCAAATAAAAATAAGAGCAACATAGAAAAATTCCGTTTTTAGATTTAAAACATAATTTTTGTAGATTATGCAACATTGGGAAAAGGGGCGTAAACAGGATGTCAGTCCGGGGGGGGGGGGGGGGCACTCTAGTATGCCCGGTCTATTAGCGCCTGATACAATCAGGGCTTAGCGATGTGTTTGTGTCTATTCTGAACCAATAGAAATTGCATGGCGGTAACATGTATCTTTCTATCTAGCTCATTATCCAATTAGAGATAAATCCTTATATCGGCGCTATAACAGTAAATGGAAATATTTACTTTTACTGAAACTATGATGGGGGGGATTTTATTGCTAAAGTTCCCCATGGAGTGTCAAAAAGGGTTACAATATAATTTACAATGTTAACAAATCTATTTTATTCAATGTTTGCCTAGATCAAGGAGAAAGAAGCTGGTTTTTGAAATATTTTCAGAATTGGAGATAGTTTTAACACCTTCGCTTACCCAGGGAGTAGAAAAGTCTCCCAATAAATCTAGAAAATCTTGAAAATTATCATCTATCCTAGTTTTGTAGGATTTTTCTAGAATCCTTATGTTTACTGACATAACCTGATTCATCTTACATGATCACAATAAATCTATTATTTACTCTCAGTATAAATTAGAATCAATGGAAATTTAAGCCCCCAAGGTCAATTTTTCTTAATATAAATGATATTTTTATCGTGCACATTCAAAATACACATGTTAATTCTCATTACAACATAAAGATATCGAATTCTAGAAAAATCTTACAAAACAATTAATATTTCTTTTTTTAAAGAACTGGTTTTAACATGAACCTGCTTGAATAAGTTTTTAGTTAAGCGGGACTCCATAAAAATGTTGCCTACCAAATAAAACCAAAAATTCATTTAGGAATGCTTTTTTTCTTATTTTCTTAAACCATCATGCATATATCATTGTGTTGTATTTTGTATTTAAGAATAAAAATTGTTAACCAGGAAAATTGTTTAATTCTCTTTACCTTCAATAATAACCTCATCCTGTAAAAAAACAATTCTTTAAAAAGAGCATTATGAAAAAGTTTTATTATTGATCTAGTTTTAGAGATCTTCGTCATTTTGCACAGCAAAAGATTTAAAAAGTTCCTTTATAATATATTAAGTTAACTCGTTAAATAGATTTGTCATTTGAAACTACGTTAACAGTCCCTTTACAGACAAAAAAGAAATGTAAAAAAAATGTTAAGACTTTTTTTAGGATTTTTAAAGATTTAGGATTCTAAGTTAATCCATACGATTATATTAATATCTTGATCTAGGATCAATTTAATTGAAAAAATTGTCCATTCCTTTGATTTTGGATTCTCGTTTCCTATTAGTTCACTAACATTAAATATCTCTTTTTGTGTCTCATCTTTCTTTGCATCTTTAAAAAAAGTCTTTTAAAAATCGAAAAGTGATCTAATTTGGATAAAATCTAAAGGAGCACATTGACTGACAGATATTTTTTTACTATTTGATAACATTTTTAATTTTTTTAAGACCTTTTCCTGGTTCGTAAGGGTCAAATTCATCACTCATAGCTCAACCCTCAAGTGTTTAGCTGATTATTTCATTTTGTCTAATTGTAATTTGTAGTTAAACACATGAATATAATCTAACAATGACTGGTGTGGGAGTATTCTGTATAATCATGATAAATACTACTGTGGTTATCATTTCAACTGCAGGCTCACGGGGATTCAGCTGTCATCAAGTATGATTTACATTTTATCCATTAAAAGGAATTCTATATCCATATTTTCACATTATTCATTAAGAATCCATATATTTACATTATTTCTTCTAAATCCATGTATTTAAATTATTTCTTCTGTATCCATATATTACCATAATACATCTCTTTATCCATATTCACTGCATAACTCCTTCTACATCCATTTATTCACATAATAATTTCTAAATCCATAAATACACATAATTCCTTCGATATCCAAGAATTAACATAATACCTTCTAAATCCATATATTTACACAACTCCTTCTATATATCCATATATGTACATAACTACTTCTATATCCATATATGTACACAACTCCTTTTAAATCCATATATTCACATAGTACCTTTCTGTATACATTATACATATATTATATAATTTCTTCTATATCCATTTATTTACATTATTCCTACTATATCCGAATATTTACATAATACCTTCTATATCCATATATTCACAAAAAAAACCCTCTTTATCCATATATTCACATAAAACCCTCTTTATCCGTATATTCACATAATACCTTCTATATCCATATATTCTCATATTATCTTCTATATCCATTTATCTACATAATACCATCTATATCCATATATTTACATGATACCTCTTTATCTATAAATTAACACAATTCATTCTTTATCCATATATTCACAAGATACCTTCTATATCCATATATTCACATGATACCTTCTTTATCCATATATTCACATAATACCTTCTATATCCATATATTCACATGATACCTTTTTATCCATATATTCACATAATACCTCCTATATCCATATATTTACATGGTACCTCTTTATCCATATATTCACATAATACCTTCTATATCCATATATTCACATAATACATTCTATATCCATATATTCACATAATACCTTCTATATCCATATATTCACATAATACATTCTATATCCATATATTCACATAATACCTTCTATATCCATATATTTACATGGTACCTCTTTATCCATATATTCACATAATACCTTCTATATCCTTATATTCACATTTTTTCTCTTTATCTATAAATTAACATTAATATCTTCCATATATTTATATAATACTTATTCATAAATTCACATAATATCACTGCAGCTATATTCACAATTTCACATTCGATTCAAATCACGCCATTTCACGTATATTCCAAATGAATGGTCGGCTTATTGGAATGTTAACGTAAAAAGAAAGCCTGAAGTATTGTTATGGTTTGCTATACCTGGAGAATGCACTATCTATCTATCTATTTATCTATCTAAATTCCCAATTTAAATATATATTTATCTATTTATCAATCTATACATCTAACTTCCAATTTGAATTTTTATTGATACATATATATTTTTATATATATATATCTCATTTATCCAATCTCCAAATTTTAATGTCTATTTATTCAGCTATCTATCTATCTAACTTCCAAATTAGAATATTAATTTATTTATCTATCTATCTATCTACCTGGTTTCTAAAAGCACCTTTCTAATCCGTCAAGGTTAAACTAAATGGTTTCATACTGCAATTGGATCAGCTGATAATAACTCTGTCGTCTTTGCAAGATAAATGAAAGAAAAATATTTTTTATCGTATTTACCTATTGTAATCATTTATCAAAATGTTTTTATAAACAAATTAAACGAAAAAAAAATATTTCTACTAACTGTATGTAGGTAAAAAACTGATTATTAACCGAGACTTTCTAATAATTGCAACAAAAAACTTCAAACTTAATTCTTTTGCTTAAAATACCTGATATCTATCAAGTTCTAAAGTTTGTAAGAATTAATTTAAAACTGGATTTCAATGAACTTTTCTAAAAGAGTATTTTGAGTATTCTGGCTCTTGGAACAACTTTCAGGCTGAAAGTTTCAGCTTAATTCTAAATCTACATTCTTATGGAAGACTGGATAACATAGGGTATTGTAAGTATTTTCAAATAGGTAAAACAAAGGTGTAGCAAAAATTTAAAAAGTAAATGATAGTAATATTAAGACGATTGATTTCATTGATAAAAGACGAATGTAAAATTTCTGAACATTAGAAATTTATTAAGAAAACTTAAATGTCGTCTTCCAAGTTGAACTAACTTCATGACTGCTGTGATGGAAATAACTTTGTTCGTTTTATATATCTTAAAATTATGGATTTTTAAAAAAGTATCTGCACAAAAATCTAAGAAGGTTTTTTCAAATTTCAAATGGTTTCTTCTCAAAATTTTTTTTTCCGTCCTGGGAGATATATGGAAAAACAAATCAAAACATAGCATTTTTTTATCTGAGTATATCAATATAAACATAGCTTAACACAGAATACAATATTAGATTGTTGGAAACCTTTAGAGTTTTTCGTGGTGCGAATTATTAAAGTCCAAAAACATAGAAGATTTAAAAACATTTTTGCCAATTATTACATGCTAAATATGATCAATGTTTTGTTTTTATGTATGCATAGATTTTTTCTGCATGTTAAACAAAAAATATGTATTTTTGATTTTGAATAGTTTTAAAATATCAAAACAATATAAATGTTTGCTTATGTAACTTTATTCTCTAGATAAATGATAAATCTTTATTGTTTATTTAGTAATACGTAAATATAAATATAAAGAGATTAGATAAGAATACGTTTCTAGTTTTCATCAATAGAATTAATATTCTGGTAACATGAAGTGGTTTATTTTCTTTCTTGTACAGGCTGCTGGCTGTACACTTGCTGTACAGTACAACCAGGAGTTCGCGCAATTTAAGGTATTTCAAATTGAAGGTTTTGATTTTTATCAAATTTTCTTGTTTAAATAGGGTCATTTCAAAACAAGAGAAACAGCCGACAAAAATTCACCATCTCCGATTTGGCTGAATTTTTATACATAGCTTTTATGTGTGAAAAATACATTTTTTATTTAAATCTCTGCGATCGAAATTAGGGACCAGGAAATATAAGAAAATTTTGAATTTGAGATATTTTTTTTTGGTAGATTTTTTTTGTTTTCTAAGTCTTTGCTAACTTAAAAATTTCAACATATTTTAAGAAAGATAAAAATATGAAAATTTATAAAAAACATATCAAATATTTGAAAGACTTTTCTCTTCTTTAAAATATAGTTACAAAGATAATGTATATCAATCTGCTTTTGCTAAGACTCCTTGAGAATGATTTGGTAAACTATTACAGAATTTATCTAATAAGTATGAATCGTTCCTTGTGTTCTTGGAAATGACCGAACAGTTAAATAAAAATTAGTGTTTGAAACAAACAAACTTTATTTCTAATTTGTTAATGTAGTTTTAAATTGTATAAGACAATAAGTGATTGAGGTCGTCAATAAGACCTAACTTCTTGCAGCCTGTATAGGAAAACCTATAATTTAAATCAAATAAGTCATTTCTTTGAATAATCAATTTTTTTCAAATCACAAGTATATGAAATTTAACAATAATAATGAAGACATTTTGAAATTTTTAGTCTACCTATGGAAAAGTTTACAGAAGTGTTGGAGAGGAAGAAAATAGATTCAAAATCTTTTCTGAAAATATGGAAAAAATTAGGTAATTAAAAAAACTTAATCTAATTTTTAGATGAAATTGAAATTGAATGAGCTTGATAGAACTTTCAACATGGATACAATTAGATTAACTCAACCCTATTCCATAATCCGGGGTAGATTAACCAATCTGAAATCTTTTAGTCTTGACCAATGATCAAGATTAGTTTTTTTATCGTCCCTGAAATTGTGGGAGAAGGACGATATTTGTTGTTCTTCAAATATTTCTGGGAGGGTTTGGGGGTCGCTGCACCTTTCTTTTAAAATTCAATTGGGTACTGCCCCGCTCCCCTCCTTCTAAAAGCCAATCTGTTTCTGCCTATATATAGGGAGCACAATGAGAAGAAAAGTACCTACACTATGGGGATGAATATGTGGACAGATCTAACTGATGAGGAATGGTCAAACCAGTTTCTAGGATATAAACGTGTCTCCACCCTCCACCCTGCAGTACACAAGGAGTCCAGGTAGTTTAATGTGAAAATAAGCCAGTTTCTAATAAACATATCTCCATTCTCCCCCCTGCTGTATCAAAGGAGTCATCTCTGAGATGAGATTTTAAAAGCTTAAACCCAAGTAAAACCCGGTCTTTGTGTCTGCTGAGATCCAAGTAAAGCTCAAGTCAAGGCCTGGATTTTGGATGGCCTTGAGTTTAGTAAAAACCAACCATCTTGGGGTTTTCTATTTTTAAGGCTCGAGTCTGATGATCGTAAATTTTGTAAAATATTTTTTATTTGTACATTTAAAATTTCGGGTCTTATTTGTTTAGGTTTGTTTAAGTTTAAATTTTCGAAATTTACATCTCCTTGTCACAGCTGATCTGACGGCATTCTGTTTGCTAAAAAGAGAAAGCTTGCTAAACAGTCTCTCATTGGTCGAATCAGAACCAATCCTGACTTGGGTTCTATCTAAGCCCGAGTTTGGGTTTTACTCGGGTTGAAGTTTTTAAAATCTCATCTCAGGTAATCAAATGTAAACAGAAACCGGTTTCTAGGATATAAAGCAAGGATGATTTAATATGAATATGAAGCCAGGTAGAAACATCCTGCCTAGGGCTGGGCAAGCTCAAACTTTTTCAAGCCTTTTCGTTAACAGTTAATTCCAACCGTTTTTAAACTAAAATCTCAGGTAGTTGTTAGTTTTAGAGGGTTATTTAAAAAATTAAAAAAAAAATAATTATGAAAACGTATCCACCCCAAAGTAGGAGTTGTGAAAGTTGAATTTGCGCTCAAACTCAGGATTTACAGATCTTTAAAAAGTTTAATATGTCTCAAATGAATCCGAAAGAAGTTTTCCACAACAATGCATACTCAGTTCAACTACCTTGCATAGCCGGTCACTCCCTTTAATATTTAAATTTCTATAGAGATGTGAAGGATTTACCGGCAAGTGTTGATTGGAGGGAGAAGGGGGTTATTTCAGATGTTAAAAATCAGGTAAAAAGATGTTCTTCTAATAAATCATTTAAAAAAAAATAATGTATAGAAGCAAACTATACATTATTTAACATTTATGAATTAATTGTGATAAGTATTAACTTTTCTACTTTTAATTCAAACAATTCCTCGTAAGATTAAACCACGCTATTTGGACGATAAAAAAGATGAGGGATTTTTAAATTAAGTTTTTCAAAATCAAAATTGCTCCATACTTTACAATTAAAGAAATATTTATTTTTATTCCCAGTTTCATTTTTTCCCAATTTAATGTCTTTTAAAATTTTAATAACATTTTTCCATAAAAAAATTAAAAATAATATTTGAGGGATCCTGTGGATCTTGTTGGGCTGTTTGTGCAACTGAACAGATGGAGTCCTATGTTGCTTTACAATCTGAAGTCCTTCTAGAACTATCTTCTCAACAGGTGGGATACCATTATAGGGGTAACATTATTTTAGATATTGGTAACACCATCATGTATGTAGGTAATGTTATATATAGGTAACATCATGGTATATATAGGAACCATCATTATAATGAAGGAAACGTTATGATTTATATATGGTAACAAAATTTTGGGATATAAAGGTAATATTCTATTATATATAGGTAACAAAATGTTATAAATAGGTAACATCCTGTGCTCCTAACCCACTAACCTGTGGTGGTACAGGAGGATGTCAAGGATCTACTCCTCCCCTAGCTTACAACTATGCCCAGCTATTTGGTCTTGTTCTGGAGGAAGAATATCCTTATATCTCTGGTAGGATATCTTTTATAAGGGACTGTACAGTGTACACATAATATTAATTAATCTATTCATAGAGTCCGCCTTGCCTAATTTACAAAGTAACATGAAATGGACACTGTACCGTGTGAAAATCATGTAAATAATGTCAGATACTTCCTGTATTAGAACTTCTTCAGTTCCGAATATTCATAGAAAGGTTTTGTTTGATTCAGTCAAAGACAGATTTTGAAAATTAGAATGAAAATATTTTTTCTCTGTCAGGTTTGATCAGACGAAGGCTTAAAGGATGTAGAATCGGTTAAAACTAACATAATCACATGCTGGACACACACAATGGAGTGAAATCGCATTAATCGTGTACAAATCAGATTGAGACTATATCCAGATTGTATCTTATTTAAAGTAGGTTGAACAAAATCCAATTAAAGTCTGCAATGCATTTCCATGATTTTTCAAAACAGATTTCTTAGTTGGGATCATTTCAAAGACAAAAACATAATTAAAGAATTTCAACAAAAGATGTAAGTGGAACACTACTTTTCAATTTTTTACTTTTGTTTAGGATCTACTTCTGAAACTGAGGACTGTGAGTACAATCTATCCAACCTATCTCCTGTAGCTTCTATCACAGGCTATAATAATCTTCCTCCCAACAGTATGGAGGCTGTTATTCAACACATTGCTGAGGTCTAAATATAACTAGAAAATTAAGTGATTTAAGGTTTTCAAAGGGGAGACATTTTTTATCATTTCGGAGTCACAATTTCACAAAGCTGTCATATTTTAAATTCAAATACCGTTAAAACTATAATACTCAAAACCAGCTTATTAATTATAATTATTTCTTCTTCAATCTTAAAGCTTTTCGAAATTTTTTTTAAAACCACAAAGTCAAAAAAAAATCAATTTCACACTTTAATATTTGAAGAACTTTGATTACTCAAAAAATTTAATTGGTTTGTGTAACTTCTCCATGCCGTTCTAATCTAGGGGAAAATATATTATAATCGTTAAAAAAACTGAAAGTTCATTATGGAAAACCCCATCGATAATAAGAAAAAAATAACTACTTGACAATTTAAAATAACTTACATTATACTGGCTTTCCATAAATCAGCTTCCATAATTTTAATATCTAGGTTGGACCACTAGCTATCTCTGTTGCAGCAAATACGTTTAAGAATTATAACGGAGGAGTGTTTGATGGATGCAGCTACGAGGTATATGTTTTCGACAACTTTCATTCATTCATAAAAAATATTAATTTTGGTATGGAGTAACTTTTATTGAATATTGCCAAATGTTGCAATTTTCTAATTACAACAACTTCAATTTTCTAAGGTGTTGGATGTTTTATTTATATTCTCAATTTTTATTTATCTGATCTCAAAGGAATTAAATCTTTGCCGCAAACTCTGATTTTCTAATTGCTATATCTTAACAACCCAATGTCGTAGACCTTAGATATTTCATACTATTGATTTGGTTAAATCAAATGATCTAAGTTTGAAATATCAAAGGTTTACCTTTTCAGGTTGCAAAGATATTTGCATTAGAAAGTTTGATTTTGTGGCAAAGACTCAATTCCTTAAGCACGCAATACAAAATGAAGTATGTAAATCTCCGAACTAAATATTTTGGTCATGCATTAAAGGATTTTTGGCCATTAAGAGGTTTTACAAAAATCTGAAAAGTTTTGCAAAATTCAAAACTACTAAAGTTTGAGCTGAAAAAATTTATTGTCACAACTAATATTTTAATCTCTCGTTCAATAATACAGGAAGTTTTGCTTCGTTAATGTCTATAACTGCTATAAAAAGCAAAGTTGCAGAATTACAAACATTTTAAAATGTTGAAGCAATCTGAATTGCGAAAAAAGCTTGAATAAATGGATCAAATAGAGTGCCCATCTATATTTGTAGGATAATATTGCCCTGAACCATGCAGTACAGTTAGTTGGATATGGTACTGATGAAGATCTTGGTGATTACTGGATTGTAAGTACTTTTCATAAGTAACATTTCTTCATTTTGTCCAAAAATATTTTTAGCTTTCAAGTATTCTAAGAAATGCTAAATTGTCATGTAACAAAATTTGTTGGAGCACCTGAGCCAACTTCAATTTTCTGATTTTTCCATGGAAGTTTTCTAATTAAACTTTTTATTACAAATTTGTTAAGAACAAATTTGTCAACTCTGACCTGCTATTTTTTCTTGGCTTACATAAATGGATCCGATCAGTAACTAAGATTTATTAGAGATAAATCAAGATCATAATATGATTAACATTTTCATAAGAATATAATTGAATATATCATGGGTTTTATCACAGAATAAGATAAGGTTATATCATAGGAAGCTTAATTTTCTCTGCATGTAGGGAATAGCAAATTTTCTGTACTTCTCCATTCTAGCATAGTTGGCAGTAAATAGTTCAACGTTCCGTAGCTGGTGGTTGTGAGTGATCAGTTCAGTCGTTTTGACGTTAATAGAAACAAAACACAAAGAAACTAGCAAACAGACAAGACAACTATACATTTTTGAATTAAATGAAATTTTTATGGCATGTTTGATTCAGTCAAAGACAGATTTTGAAAATTAGAATGAAAATATTTTTTCTCTGTCAGGTTTGATCAGACGAAGGCTTAAAGGATGTAGAATCGGTTAAAACTAACATAATCACATGCTGGACACACACAATAGGCAACAAAGAATTTTTTCAGAAATGTTTATTAAATTTTGTTGCGTTTACACATTAAATCAAATCTGACAGATTTACACTTACAAAGTAATTTTAAACTGTTTTGAAATATTTCAGTCTTGTATCTGAAGATCTAACATTAATCTGATTTTAAGCATTCAATAAGTCTTTTATCTTTAAATAAGGTTAGGAATATCAGGATGAAACTAATCCTTCCTATCTCCTATAGGTTCAGAACAGCTGGAGGTTAGGTTTGGGAGAGAATGGATATACCAGGATAAAGCTAAACCTTCCTATCTCCTAGGTTCAGAACAGCTGGAGGTTATGTTTGGGAGAGAATGGATATATCAGGATGGAACTAAACCTTCCTATCTTCTAGGTTAGGAACAGCTGGAGGTTAGGTTTAGGAGAGAATGGATATATCAGGATGAAACTAATCCTTCCTATCTTCTAGGTTAGGAACAGCTGGAGGTTAGGTTGGGGAGTGAATGGATATATCAGGATAAAGCTAATCCTTCCTATCTCCAAGGTTAGGAACAGCTTGGGATGAGGTTTGGGAGAGAATGGATATATCAGGATGAAACTAATCCTTCCTATCTCCTAGGTTCAGAACAGATGGAGGTTAGGTTTGGGAGAGAATGGATTTATCAGGATGAAACTAATCCTTCCTATCTCCTAGGTTAGGAACAGCTTGGGATGAGGTTTGGGAGAGAATGGATATATCAGGATGAAACTAATCCTTCCTATCTCCTAGGTTAGGAACAGTTGGGGGTCAGGTTTGGGAGAGAATGGATTAATCAGGATAAAGCTAATCCTTCCTATCTCCTAGGTTAGGAACAGTTGGGGGTTAGGTTTGGGAGAGAATGGATATCAGGATAAAGCTAATCCTTCCTATCTCCTAGGTTAGGAACAGCTGGAGGTTATGTTTGGGAGAGAATGGATTAATCAGGATAAAGCTAATACTTTCTATCTCCTAGGTTAGGAACAGCTGGAGGTTAGGTTTGGGAGAGAATGGATATATCAGGATAAAACTAATCCTTCCTATCTCCTAGGTTAGGAACAGCTTGGGGTTAGGTTTGGGAGAGAATGGATATATCAGGATAAAGCTAATCCTTCCTATCTCCTAGGTTAGGAACAGCTGGTGGTTAGGTTGGGGAGAGAATGGATATATCAGGATGAAACTAATCCTTCCTATCTCCTAGGTTAGGAACAGCTGGGGGTTAGGTTGGGGAGAGAATGGATATCAGGATAAAGCTAATCCTTCCTATCTCCTAGGTTAGGAACAGTTGGGGATTAGGTTTGGGAGAGAATGTATATCAGGATAAAACAAATCCTTCATATCTTCTAGGTTAGGAACAGTTGGGGATTAGGTTTGGGAGAGAATGTATATCAGGATAAAGCTAATCCTTCCTTTCTCCTAGGTTAGGAACAGTTGGGGATTAGGTTTGAAAGAGAATGGATATATCAGGATAAAGCTAATCCTTCCTTTCTTCTAGGTTAGGAACAGTTGGGGATTAGGTTTGGGAGAGAATGTTTATCAGGATAAAGCTAATCCTTCCTGTCTCCTAGGTTAGGAACAGTTGGGGATTAGGTTTGAAAGAGAATGGATATATCAGGATAAAACTAATCCTTCCTATCTTCTAGGTTAGGAACAGCTGGGGGTTAGGTTGGGGAGAGAATGGATATATCAGGATGAAACGTGAAGCCAACCCTCCTTGTGGAACGGATTCTACAACTTCAGGTATAGACACTAAAGGCATGATCCAACCCTGTTTACTGGTTTAGTGAAACCGTGCCACATAAATATTTTAGCGTACCAGTCTGCCTTATAAATCCAGTGGGTAGTGGACCCAGTGCGTTTCTGAAAAAAAATATAAGGCTGACTATGGTAACTAGCCACTGGTTTACGATATTTCATTGAAGCCTGATTATTTTATAATTATGAATTTATCGTTTATCACCAAATTCTAAAAATTTCAGCTTAAGTTCAAGTAACTCTTTCTTACAAAGTGCCATTGACGGCTTAAAATTATCCCTCCGACACTTTTTCTGAGTAATGATAACGGAGAAATCGTCATTCTACTTTTTTGTTTATGAGGTAGGAAAATGTTGGCAGTTATCTTTTTCGGTACATAATTACAAACTATATAAATATAAAGATATCCCCAATGAAGCATTGATTTTATATATATATATATGACTTTAATGGTATCTCTGTGAATCACTGATTATAACAATATAGGCTTAGTTAAAATTAACTTTAACTTTCCTATAGATCTATTAAGTTTTGAACTTTTCTTGAATTTGTAGAATTCAAAACTTTTTGACTTTTTCTATCAAATACTTAAAACTTCCCTAAATAGCAGCTAAACTACTGGATTCATGTGAATTTATTCATCTTAGATAGAAATTAATTAAAGATTTATCTTTTGTTAGGACGGTTTCAATTAATTGTAATATTTTATATTTAAACAGTAAATTTAGTAACTCTCATCTAAGCTCGGTCATCGACAAATTAACTATATATAATATTACTTGCATTCTCATTTTTTTACCGTATAGCCATCCATTTTTCATACTGTCACTTTCAAACTTTTCGATCTGAAAGAATTTGTTTGTAAACACTTCAATATGCACAAACTCTGATTTTAGCATCCCTATATCTTTGCAATCCAATGTAGACCTTGAGATGGTAAACTTTGAATTCTCATTAGATACAAACATCTGAGTTTAGATATATAATGCAAAGCTGATAGGGAATGAAAAATTTAAGTTTGTGGCAAAGACTGAATTCCTTTCTTTATTATATATATAAGTATGGTAAAGGACGTAATTAATGGCGTCCAAGTTGGCGTTGTTTAACAAATCTTTAAAATTCGGATCATAACATACTTTTAGATTGTAAGATCCTTGAGAAAAAAATGTTTTAACTGCAAGTTTCACATGGTTCTGGGTACCCATCATACTTCAGAATTAATCAATAAAGTTTTTGATGAAAATGTTTTTGCTTTAGGTCACGTTTGTCAGGGTGGACCTGGTTCTGATAGTTTGACCGTATGTGGAATGTGTGGCATGCTGTTTGAGACTTCCTTCCCTCTTGGAGCTCATCTTTTATAATTTTATAGATAACGCCATTTTTATTGTAAAATTATTTAACTGTTAATTATGAGAATGATGTAGATTAATTTAACAATAAATTGGAATATCTTATTTTAATGTTAATCTAGTGATAATTTTCATTTTAAATGGATTTTTAATGTAGGTGCAGTGCAGAGAAGGTGCAGTGTCAGTGTCACTTTACCCTGTACATTTTTTCTAATTTTGATTTAATTTAATGCCAGGAGTGTCAAAAAATATTTTTAATTTTTTTTGATCGAGGGCTAAAATCTCCATTTTCGATTTTTTAAAATATAATAAATGCTAGATCTTACGATTAAAATCTTATTTTTCAATAAAAGTTTGATAAATTAAAAAAATTTTAATTTTCTTTGACCCCTTGAATAAATTTGTGCACTAAACCTGCCGATAAAGTAAAAATACAGTCTAGGAAAGTAATTATTGGAGCAAAATACTACCCGTGTCCGGAGAAAAAGCCAACTTTTTTTCCCGATAAATCATAAGACTCTCCTAGGACCGAATCTTATTAATTTAAGCTAGGTCGCTCAGTACCAACCGTCGATTCAAATCTTGAATCTCCGATTTAAAGTTAAAGATTTACGAGAATTTGAATTCGGTGATTCACGATTTGAACTGGCGCGGCGAAAGGCAGTTTAATCATTAAATTCATAAAATCTAGTCCCTAGTCATATTATTGACTAATCTAAATGCTCATAGTATATTATATTTGTATATTGTATAATGATATATAAATTCTAAAAATATTATCTCTATTTTATATTCAGGGTTTTTATCCAGATGGTCTGAAAAGGGTAAGGCAGTGGAGTGCTACAAGATTTTGATGTTAAGATTTAATAAGGGAAACTGAGATTAAACACTTTTACGGTCAACTTTGTAACCTTGTATGGCGCATATAATTATGAGTTCACGCACAGGTTTGAGATAAATAAAGGAATTGAGTTTTTGCCACAAATAACAGTTTAAAGTGGTAGGAATAAATATTTGAGTTTTTGGGAAACACTCTGTTTCTTTACAATTGGTTAGAATGATTTAAATTTAAAACTTTTTTTTTGTTTTTTAATATTTCTTTGATAACAGAATTTATGATTGCAAATATGTAAAATATCAATCCAACCATGCACTCCTGTATGCCGAGTCCATTAGCGCCTGATCCAATCAGGGTTCAGCCATGTGTTTGTTGTGTTTTCTGAACCAATAGAAATAATATGGTGGTAAAATTTATCTTTCTATCTATCAGTAAATGGAAATATTTACTTCTACTGAAACTATAGTGAACGTCAACAATAAAGACCATTGACCGTGCGCTAATGACGAAAATAGTTAAATCCAGAAAAAATTACAATTAGTTGTGTTTGCCCCATTTTTAAACCATGTGCACGATTCCCGAGCCACCCCCCCCCCCCCTGTATCCGCAGATTAAACAAAGAACTCATCAAAGCCTAGTTCTAGTCTTGTGTTTGTATATACTGTAAACTGTAAACTGTAAACTATAAAGTGTAAACATCATTAAAAAGTTTATACTCAACCATATGTAGTGCAGGGTTATCCACAAAGAATAAAACTTTAAAGACAACCTAAAACTATTTAAATATAACACTACAGGTATTTTGTGCGCCTCACGAACCCTTTTCTGTAAATGATCTGCTCTGAAAGTCGGCCGTTTTAAATAATTCTCATGTTTGAGGGATTTTTCTATTCGAATTTGCGCATTTAAAAAAAAAGTAATCTTCACTTAAGATTACTGAATTTTACAACAGTTTACTGTTTTTTAATTAGTGAAACCTAAGATCCCTTCTTCTACATACAGATTAAAAATGTTGGTTTTCATATATTATTGGAACTCTTTTTAAACAAACCTATGAACACAAATATGAAATTTTTGCTAATTAATTTGTTTAAGTTTAAAGGGGTTACGAGTACGACATCTGATACGCATGTCATAGGACTCGACAGGAGGGGGTGGGGGAGGAATCTTATAGACCAGAGGCCTAAAACTCTCCCTTGAAGCTCGTGAGGCTGTTGAATATAGAATAAAGCTAAGGTTCCGAGGTTTCAGATGCATTCTTCCACAGAGCTTCATACCAACACGTTCTTAAATTAACGAGGAATATTTATATATTATAGTTTTTTGAACACTTCGCAACTCTTTTTTAGTGAAATTTTTGGCTTTAACTTTTACTTTTCAAATTGCCATTTTTTATCGTACGCCAGTAAACAAAAATCTTTGCTGATTTTTCTGTTCCAATCGACTTTGAGAGATTTTTAAAAATTGTAAAATCAATGCTTATCTAAGTTTTTCTGAATTAAGATGTTAGAACATCTGGATTTTTTTTATCATTTTCAAACTTTACGAGATTTAACCTTTTTATACAGATTAATTTAATTATACCAGCAACAAAATTGGTAAAAATATCCGTTGTTGAAACACTGATTTCAAATCCATGAAGTCGAGACTAAATCGAACAACTTAATAAAAGCAAAAAATGTTTTTCGAACGAAAATTTGTCAAAATTTCTTAAAACTACTTTTTTACCTAAAGTCCAAAACCTTTAGGGTAGAAAATCAGTTAACTGGGTTTGAGATTGAGTAAGGTGAAATGATCAAAAGGTTTCTTATCACGCATTTTTTTAAGTAAAAAAAGTTGTCTATTTGCACAAAACCCTAAATAGATCAATTTAGAGGGCACTCGAGCATACTTTCTCGTTATCAGTTTTTATCATTTTTATCATCACCATCATCGGGCATGACAATTTTGTAAGATTCATATTTTATTTTATGAGATAGTTCCGTTCAATTTTGAAAATAAAAGTTTTGTGACGACAACGCCCAGCCTTGATAAATAGGACGACATTAGAGGAAGATTGATTAAGACGGAAGGAAGACTGAATGATTGTAGCTTCTAAAGCACTATATTAGATTTAGAAAGGGTTCAATATAGGATTATGGAAGCTTAAACTAATCCAAGATTATTTTCCCGCGCAGAGGTATAAATTCCCACGAAATAATAATAATATTAAAAAGAAATATGGTTTCCAAATTTCCTGGATATGATTTTTTTTTTGTCAATGGGACTACCTTAAAAATATTATTAGTCTAGTAAATAAAAGTTTTTTTTATAGTTGGTTAAAAGAAAACAACATAGAAATAAAAAATTTGTGCTTTTTTGGTGATTTTAAATTAGACAATTTAAAAAGCTATGTACCCGCCAATATGATTTTAGTAACACTCATATAGATTCAGTCTGTTATAAAAAGTTTATCAAGACTCGGTCGACTTTAAACTGTCGTTTCGCCTTTGCCTTTGATTTTACCTTTTTACTTACTTTTTGTAGTCCTGGTCATTCATATTTTAGAACAATAAAGCAATTGTTTTAAGCTTTAGCTTTCAGGAAATAATTGAAAAAATTTTCACGATTTTTGCTGTGAGTTTGAAACCTAATGATCCCACTGCTGTGAACTAAACAAAAGTAGGATGTTAAAGGAATTGAGTCTTTGCCACAAACTCTGATTTTCTAATCCCTATATCTTTGGAACCAAATGTTGCAGACCTTAGATATTTCAAACTATGAATTCTGTTAGATCTAATAATCTGAGTTTGAAATATCAAAGGTTTACAACATCGGGTTCTAAAGATATTGAGGTTTAAATATTTGATTTTGTTCCAAAGACTCAATTCCTATTTTATGTGTCATTACTGTTACAACTTTGAGAGCTCGTAGCTCCTCTAGTTTTGATTTAAAGCACAAGTATGAGAACAGAAATTTATCAGGTTACATATTCGGAATTTAAAACATATTTCTTCCTCTCAGCAGCTTTTCAATTAAAAATTAAGACTGAACTCATAGAAATCATATAAGATTTTAATCTTACGATTTAGTTTAGTTGGACGCAATCCCTCTGTGTACTATCGCTTATTTTACGGTTAAATTATTGTATTTTTGTGCTGATATATATTTTACGGTTAAATTATTGTATTTCTGCTGATATATATTTTACGGTTAAATTATTGTATTTCTGCTGATATATATTTTACGGTTAAATTATTGTATTTCTGCTGATATATATTTTACGGTTAAATTATTGTATTTTTGTGCTGATATATATTTTACGGTTAAATTATTGTATTTGTGCCAATACATATTTTTGTTTGTTTCTTACATAAAAAGACGATAAATCTTTAGACGGGGAAAATACCCAATTTAGTGAAAGGTTTCCCCCACCAAGGTGTCAGCAAAGTAAATGTAAATATATTAATAGATCATTATTTTACTTAGGTCTTAACATTAACTTTTTTCATATGTAATATGTAATAGAAATAATGATAGAAATACTAAATCAAATAATATGTGATATTGTTTAGAGAAACTGTATATGCGTAATTTCAAGTGAGCCTCCATGTAAAGATGATAATGCCTGATTTACAACGGTACCGTTATTAGATTAAGGTTTAAGGATGTTGTCGTAAATCGGGCCTTGCCATCATTGAATGGAGGATAACTTGAAATCACATTACAGTCTCTTCCATATATGTCTTTTTTTTGGGAGACATTTATTTATCCATCTCCTTCGTCATAAAACTAGATTGTTGAATGTGATTCCGAGCCACGATATGGTCAAACAAATTAATAGTAAAACGCATTTTACAGCTTGCAATGCATTTTCTATTATTGTTTTGTGTATCTTAATGATTAAACACGTCTTTACTTGGTTCACTGCTTTGAACGATTGAACCCATGGATATACAATAGAACGGATGTATCATAGACAAGTTTTGATGTAATTTTCTGGGTACCCCTTCCATCGTGCAGTACATTAGACATTGGAATCTGGACTTACTTAATTTTTCTTTGGTTTTTGTAAAGTTAATATAGTTGTCAAGCATAGAAAAAACATTTTATAATGATACTTTGAAATTGATAAAAATTTAGCAAACTTCTTAATAACTGTCGGAGGTACTAAAGATTTAAACAACCTTGGCTGTATTTAATATTTTGAATTTTAGATAAATTTTTCAATATCTCAGTCAATTCTTAAGGTAAAAAAACGGCAGACCACATTTTGAAAAACTTGATGCTACTCATCTCTTAGAAAGCAATGCCATATTTACAAGATATTAGCTAATATATCTCATTTTTCTTACTCCAAGGACCATCATTTACAAGAGTTCTACTCTGTTTGGGACCCTAAACTTCATTTCTAACTTGCTAACACTTCATGACACAAGTGGTGGGGCTTATGGCAAATCAAAATTTAATTAATTTAAAAAATCAACCGGAAGCAGCACCCTGCCTGGGCTCCGGACTAAGTCTAGTAATAAAAACAATTCTGAATAATTTATTAATATTGTGCTCAGATATTGGAAACACTTGGCTTGCATTCTTTAGCTATGAAGGTAATATATTTAGAAACCTTAGAAATATTCCCAATAATAGATCTCTATATAATCTCTATAAGGGATTTTCATATTTACGCATTTGTTTCTGTTTGGTTTGTCTGTTTCTGTCTGTTTGGTATCTCTTTGGTTAGTGTGTTTCTGTTTGGTTTGTCTGTATTTGTTTGGTTTGTCTGTATCTTTCAGTTTGGTATCTCTTTGGTTAGTGTGTATCTGTTTGGTTTGTCTGTATCTGTCTGTTTAGTATCTGTTTGGTTTGTATGTATCTGTTTGCTTAGTATCTGTTTTGTTTGTCTATATCTGTCTATTTAGTATCTGTTTTTTTGTTTGTATCTGTCTATTTAGAATATTTTTGTTTAGTCTATATCTGTTCGAATGGTATTTTTTTTGTTTGCCTGTATGTGTTTATTTAGTATCTGTTTGTTTTGTCTGTATCTGATTTTTTCATATCTGTTTAGATTGTCTGTGTCTGTCTGTTTAGTATCTGTTTTGTTGTCTGTGTTTGTCTGTTTAGTAACTGTTTGGTTTGTCTGTATCTGTTTGTCTAGCCTTTTTTCGGTTTATATCTGTTTGTTTAGTATCTGTTTGGTTTGTCTTTATCTGTTTTTTTCAAGTATCTGTTTGGGTTGTCTGTATCTGATTGGTTTGTTATTGAACTGTATCTGTTTGTTTAGTATCTATTTGGTTTTTATACAGACTGTTTATTATCTGCTTGTTTTGTCTGTGTCTGTTTGTTTAGTATTTGTTCGGTTTGTCTGTATCTGTTTGTTTAGTATCTGTTTGGTTTGTCTGTATCTGTTTGTTTAGTATCTATTTGGTTTGTCTGTATCTGTTTGTTTAGTATTTGTTCGGTTTGTCTGTATCTGTTTGTTTAGTATCTGTTTGGTTTGTTTGTATCTGTTTGTTCAGTAACTGTTTGGTTTGTTTGTATCTGTTTGTTTAGTATCTGTTTGGTTTGTCTGTAGCTGTTTGTCTGATGTGTCTGAGTGTGGACTCCTTGAACCCTGCTATAAGTATGCTGGGGAAATCATCAGGGTAAGTTTTAACAGGAGGTGCAACTAGAAAAGGGAGGGGCTGGAGTTTATACCCCCCCCCTTCATCACATATAGGCTTTTTGTTCCCTGTAAGGCATTTGAACATATTTTCATTGTTACCCATTTGTATTCACTATTTTGGGGATTTAAAAGCAAAAAACTTTTCATACTTATTAACCAAGGCACATGGTTTTTGTTTTTCAATCTTTTTTGTAACTAATAATATAAGTTTAAATATATTCCTTTTTCAAAACATCTATATCTTAATAGAAAAGAACATTTTTGAAAAATAATAAATGGTTTAATCTTTTTGCCATTTTTGTGTGTAAAATGAAAATTAGAGAAATTAAGAAAATAAGGTAGCAAAGACGTGTCAGTATTTCCTAAAGTTTTCATTGATATCTGTCACCCCCCTTTATAAAACAATGTAATGTTTTCTATAGATTATTACCCAATTTATTTCCCATTCCCGCCACTTTTAATATTGTGGTTAAAACATATTACACTATTATACTTTTTAGTGTAATTGTTCAATTTATCATACCTTTAGTGCCACTTTAGAAATTAACTCTACCATCACCATACTTCCCACGAACGAGCAGCCGTAGTACATTTGATTTTCCAAGCCGGGTCAACCTTTCCGGTCCCAGTTTGTACTGTATCGCCCGGACATTGGGTAAATAAAGCAGACCCTCAATAGGAGTAGCCGGTGCAACAAGGTTGACGCGGTCAGATTTTAGATTAAATTTACTTTTACTTAAGGGTCAGAGGTGTATGTTCCCTTGTAAATTGTAAAACTTTTTAAGATTAAAGCTTTAATAGAGGATTAAACCCAACTTTAGAACTGTATTCAATGAAAGAAAATTGTGGAAAATATTTTCTAATATTAATTAAAATCTAAATAAATTGCATTGTAAACTTATCAAATTAAATAAACTTTGAAAATAAGACTAAGGAATTCAGCTAAAAGCTGTATTCATTTGTTGGCTTGAAAACTTAATATTTGAACGGTTTCTACAATTTAATACTCAATATTGTTCTGACTTTAGCCATTAGATAATATAATAACATCATTTAACAGCACTTCAAAACGATATTTAAGAACTTATTTCACCTTAGGTTATAACAGGGGGGGGGGGTTAATTTCCCCCCCTTACGGCCCTGTAATTTGTAATTAGCCTTTAAAGTTACTTGTATGGATGTAAATACTTTTTTTGAGAATTATCAAGAACATAAAATTTAAATAAAAAATATCAACAAGTGATGATACAAAGAAATTCCCAATTGACAGCTGCAGCGGATAATAAGTTCAGAAAGTAAGACTGAATAAATTTGTAAAATTGTTATAAAATTATCATCCTTTATGAGAAACTCTGTTTCAAAACTGTTAAATTGGTATACATTGGCAGTATCCATAAAAGTATTCTTTCTGTTTCCAGAGCATTTTCATGGGATATTTTTAATTCTTTCTCCAGCGGCAAAAATTTAAAGAAAATCTTTCTTAAATAATGGAAAAATGAAAAATTATTTCCTCTATGATTTTTTAAAAGTTTTTAGTGCTGAGGTCTAATCCTAGCCTATACTTAACCTGTCACTTCTAGTCATTTTCTCTTAAGAAGTAATTAAAAGTTGAAAGCTATATATATAATATATATATATATATATATACTAGCTTGGGAACCCAGCGCTGCCAAGGTTACTAAAGTCATTCCAGCCGTTTACCCGCAATTGAACGATTTTACCGGAAAACTAAATTAAAGTCGACCCACTTAGCTTAGAATCTCAAAACAAAGCTAAGAACATTCCCGTGGGTATCCCGTGTTCTCTAATCAAAATTTAAGACAACTCGCTCAAGGGATTCCTTAGTTATTATCGGACAAACAAACAAACAGAGATTACAACTTTATATATATTATATATAGATATGCATCAATTTTAGAACAATGTTATCTGTTTCTAAACTGTTTAAGGTCCCGGAGTTGGAATGAAAACCCCTGGGATTCAACTATACACAGGAGTCCGGTAGAAACCGACCTTTCATGGCTCAAGGTAATGAAAACTGATCTAGAGGAAACCAACATAAAGGGTGTCGAGGGGGATACATAAAGGTTTTATTTGAACTGGTCTAATTTACTCAACATCTGAATAAGATATCTTGTTTCCAAAAAAGTAGTTCAAATGAAGCATTAAATAGTTCAAATGAGAAAAAAGTAGTTCAAATCAGCAAACAAATTAACCAAAACTATAGCTTTCAAGTGAGCAAAAAAATAGTTTAAATGAACCAAAAAATAGTTCTAATGGGCAAAATAAATAGTTTAAATGATCAAAAAGATAGTTCAAATGAGCAAAAAATAGTTCAAATGGGCCAAAAAATTGTTAAAATGAGCAAATAAATAGCTCAAATAAGCAAAAAAAAAAATTCAAAAGCAACTATTTTTTAGCAATTATTTGAACTTTATATTTTTTGTTCATTTTATCTATTTTTTTCCTCATTTGAACTAAGTTTTTTGCTCATTTGAACTATTATTTGGCTCATTTGAAATATTTTTGCCACATTTGAATTATATTTTTGGCTTATTTGAACTTTTGTTTTGTTCATTTGAACTAATGTTTTGGCTCATTTGAACTATTGGGTATACGATATTGGGTAATTTTTGCTCATTTGAGCAATTATTTGGCTCAATTACTACTACCACGTGGGGTACCACGTGCAATAGTTCAAACACCAATACATGTCTCACGGTAAATTCTTATCTGATAGATAGATAACTCGTGCGACCACAATTGGAGACGTCATGTGGTCGACCACTGTAATGTTTGAAAGGAATGGGACGATAGTTTGGGCGCTAGATGTCTTACGTTAAATTACTATCTGATAGAAAGATAACTCGTGCGACCACAATCGGAGAAGTCATGTGGTCGACCATTTTAATGTTTGAAAGGAACGGCCTATATGCAGCAAAATTATTGCAGATCTTTCAAAGACGACATTTTTTATGTTCCTTTTAAAGGATCCTGCAGATGAAGGTAGGTCTCCCTGTGTTGGACTCTGCTACACGCTTAAACTTTTAAAGATGGCGGAGATGCAAAACAAACAAAAGGTGAGGAATATTACACACATGTCTATCAGCATTATTGGAATATCGAACCGATGTATATAAACAGTGACATTTAAAAGGGTTTAGAATGATTAAAAGCTCTTCTGTTTCTCTTTTTACAATCTTTCTGTCTTTTTTCCAGTTGGTATTTTTTTAAATCTATACTATAAAAATTCAAAAATATCTTCTTTTTTTTGTCGCATAAGTTCTCCTGGTTGATATATCCTTGAAAGATTTTTTTTTGAAAATTCTAACTATTAATAGTGGCTTTTAGATAAAAATCTTATTTCTAAGAAAGGATATTTGAATTATGAATTAATCATTTATTATTGTAGAGGTTTGACGGGTATCTGTACGATTTTTACAGGAAGTAAATATTCTAGAAGAAAACAAATCTTTGACATTTACTAATCACCTGTAAACCTATGTTTAATGTTATTTTGTGATTTTCTACCAGTTTTTATTGGCTTTCTCATGATCACATATCTAGTCATTTTATCTTCATGCGCATGAAATATACTGTGACAATAAATAAATATATTTAAATGTAGTTTAGTTCTTGAACTGTGGACGTAATTTGAGGAGACCATGAAGACACCCTCCATTTTTTTAGAGTGGCACCGCATTACCCATTCACAACGGTACCGATTCACAACTGAGCTGAAAACTTTAGATGGGATATCCTTAATCCCGATCGTATATTTAATCTGGAGATTAAGTTCATGAGGAGAACAAGCAATATTTAATCTGGAGATTAAGAAAAAGAGTGGATTAAGCATTAATCCTGATATCCACCATTCTAAAGTTTTCAGCTCAGAGCTGAAAACTATAGAATGGAATATCCTTAATCCCGATCTGTTAATTAATCTGGAGATTAAATTCATGAGGAGAACAAGCAATATTTAATCTGGAGATTAAGAAAAAGAGTGGATTAAGCATTAATCCCGATATCCACCATTCTTAAGTTCCCAGCTCTGATCATATATTTATATATATATATATATATATATATTAAACAGCTTGCAAACAAAGTTACAAGGGTTTTCGTGGATAGAATAGAATTAGGCCCGTCATTCTCCTTGATTAGTCAAAAATAAAAGTTAACGGGTAAATCTGATTCATTTGAAATTACGTCTTTATTCCCTTTAATGGCGTTTATATTTACTTTATATTTAATTTTTGTATTTCTGGCAAGCCTTTTTAGAATAAAAGTGACAAGTACACAGAAAAGTTGTTAATTGACAAGTTCTTTTAGTTTCTATGATTATGTGAATCCAATATCCATACTGTCTGTATTGATATATACGACGACGACTGTACCTTGAATATGATAAACTAAATAATTTGACAAAGAAAAATTATTTGATAATTAAAAAAACCGATTCTAAAAATGTAGGAGTTTTTAACGTCGAATTTGCGCTCAAACTCATGATTTACAGATCTTTAAAAAGTTTTATATGTCTCAAATGAATCTTAAGAATTTGTCTACAACACTGCATACTCAGTTCAACTACCTTTCATAGCCGGCCTGTCCCTTTAATTAAAAAAGGGCATGACCGATTTACGAATGTACATTTTACACCTTTAACTGATCAAACTTGACAAGTGTATGATTCTTACAATTGTCTCTGCAAAATCTGCAAAACAATTTCCTGGACAACTTACAATTAAAAATGACTGATTTCCAAAAAAACATGAATAGATCAGTATTGAGCGATTGAATACCGCAAAGGTGAAACTTTATTTTAAAAAGAAACAAAATATTTTCAAAGGTTAGCCCACAGCTAACTCAAAGAAATTACAATTTTGTAAACCACAAGAGAAAGAAGATCATTTTTATCCGGGTAAGTCCAATTGAAAAAATTTGTTTAACCTTAGTTTACAGTTTAAAATATTCTTTTTCAACACTGTTTTACACGCTTGAAGAATTAAGATTTGACAACTTTTTAAAGAAAAGATTATAAAATTCTTTCCCTAGTATTCAAAGCCACACAATAAAAACCTCCAGTAAAATTGCTTGATGGTTCGTTGTGTACATTCCAATACTGTAATGTTTACAGAACATTTTTTTAAAAGTTCCTTTATAAATTATACTGAAAGGAACAAAGATTTAAAAAGAAAATTTTGAAAGTTAAATCTTTAAAATAAAATTGGGGGAGAAATCTGTTACGCATTTCTTTGACTTCTAGAAAAACGTTTAAAACTGTAACCATACATACAACAGAATGAAGAACGCATATTATTGATAAACCATGAGAGAAACTTGATATAGCTGATCCATCAGTATATAATTATATTCTATTATGTTACAATATACAGATAATTAGATTTATTAACAATATTAATATATTAGAAATTGCGCACAATACATAAAATTTTACACTTTAATCTATAATTGAATTACGATGTTCACTGCATTTGTTAAAATGTGCTGACTTTTAAACTAACACAAGCTCCTTAATTTAGGCTAAACCCTGGGCTTTAATTCATACTGCCTGATTCTTCAAGCATGCTGCCTAAATGCCTTGTTTTACCTACACCAGACTAAACAAATATTTAGACCCACTTCCACTTTCAACATTTATAGTTCTTGTGCAGATTGCGCAAGTTTTGCAAAGAAATGTATCACAACTTTTTACACACACACCTTGAAGTAAAATTGCACAGTTTTTGTTTTTCTCTAAATGAAAAATTGTTTTAAAATAGTTCCAATACACTTTTCTCTTTTATATTTTAAGAATTTTCAGCATTAGCAATGTGTATGAACTGAAAGTCGCTTCGCGGCTTCAGTGAGTGATAAATAAAATTTGAACAAAAAGTTGTGAGTTGTGGTGAATATAAAATAGAATAAGAATATAAATTCCACTCTTGGGAACCATTTATTTTATATTCTTAACTTAGAGAAAGGAGTATGGTAAGTACACTACTGCAAAAACATGTATTAATACATAAGTACAGCTTAAACTACGAATTATGCAGAGCAGCACTCATATCATTTAAAGCTCAGTGAAATTTTTCTTTACACAATTTTTTAAATTACATTTTTTACCGTGAATTATGAGATAATAACCCAAGGTTGGAGGGTGAGGTTTAAGACTGATTTTAATAATAAGATTATTTTGGAAGGGGGGGGGAATTAATTATATTATCTAGACTGCAATAAAAAAATTCTATTATCGATTGAATGACAAATGGCTTAAATAATGTTTATTGATATAATCCTTGAATTTACACTTGTGTACATCATTCATGTACCTCAATAATACAACAATGCAAACATAGAGATGGACAAAATATTTAGAGCTTGCTTTTATTTCTTTTCAACTCGACCCAAATTGGATAGGAATAAATCCCAGTTATAGGACAATAGATTTATTAAAATAACAATTTGGACTCTAGATGTCGTTTTTGAAGATTTATGTGTGTTTCATCGGTATTCACAAGAACCCTGAGGCAAAAGCTTACCTGAGTTAAATGTAGTTGGCGTAGAACAGGCTATCTCTCTGTCTTGTAATTCTACAGAGAGAGAGCCTGTTCTACGCCGACTACGCGTAACTCCTGCCTAACACATATATCTTACTTTAAGGAGATCATTCATTTGGAGATTCTCAGGCTCCTGTGAGATAAAATCGTTTTCAGATTGGTTGCGTAACTTTTGAATATGATCTGTTTAATGCTACAACTTTTATACAAAATCTGACATATGTCTGTTTTGGTATAATTTTCACACAGTTTTATGTCAATTTCTCGAGACAGAAACATAAGATAGATGTTTCATTCTCAGGTTTTATCCTATACCCCCTTTGATTTTTCCTTTCCAGTCCCTTTAAAAGTGGTCCAAAAGTCAGAGTTATATTACTGTAAAGACACGACTATTTCGAGTCTTGAACTCGACTAAAACCCCACTTTTGGATGGCCAAAAAGTGGAGTCAAACTCCACTTTAATTCGTGCCATTGTTTGATGGGAATTTTAGATGTTTGGTTTCGTTTTATTTTGATTCTAAGAGTAAAATAAATATTCTCTTGATTTTCACTTATGTTGCCCTTCTCTATGTACAAAAAATAATTTAGTTTAAACATGTTATTATATAAAAATAATTTAGTTTAAACATGTTATTATATAAAAATGACAATTTTTTCAAGTTCACAAAGAATATAAAGTATGAAATTAAGTTCGATATATTTACATAAATTGTGTGTTTCCAAAATGTTTGAAAATAAATAGCTTTAACTGTATGTTTGCATTTAACTCACTTTTGTACAAACGTTTAGATTAAATAGATTGCATAAATTTTTAATAATGTTTTTTAAGCAACGTTTATAATCACCTTTTCCTTTTTAATTTAAGATTTGTATGTTCAAGATTGTGAATCGTATCCTCCCCCTCCCCGGTATCATTATTTATATTTACGCCTCTTGATCAATATTTGATCAATTATTTTAACACTTGTATCAACTTGACATTCATACCAGTTAGTTCAATGGACTTCTTAGGAACAGGACAGCAGTGGTGTTTTAAAATGATATTGAATCATAAAACCAACAAACCAATCAATAAATCAACTAAACAAAAAATAGAAAGTTCATGCTTTGCTTTGTTAACCCTGCTGTACACTGTATAGTTCATGTTTTGCTTTGACAACCCTGCTGTACACTGTACTATTCATGTTTCGCTTTCTTAACCTTGCTGTAAACTGTTCAGTTCTTGTTTTGCTTTTTGTTAACCCTGCTGTACACTGTACAGTTCATGTTTTGCTTTGGAAACCCTACTTTACACTGTACAGTTCATGTTTTGCTTTGACAACCCTGCTGTTCAGTTGTTTTGCTTTGATTATCCTTCTGTACACTGTTCAGTTCATGTTTTGCTTTGTTAGCCTTGCTGTACAATGTACAATGCACAATTCATGTTTTGCTTTGTTAACCCTGCTGTACACTGTACAGTTCATGTTTTGCTTTGTTAACCCTGCTGTACAATGTACAGTTCATGTTTTTCTTTGTTAACCCTGCTGTACAATGTACAATGCACAATTAATGTTTTGCTTTGTTAACCCTGCTGTACAATGTACAGTTCATGTTTTGTTTTGCTAACCCTGCTGTACACTGTACAGTTCTTGTTTTGCTTTGTTAACCCTGCCGTTCACTGTACAGTATTTGTTTTGTTTTGTTAATCCTAATGTATAATGTACAGTTCATGTTTTGTTTTGTTAGCCCTGCTGTACATTGTACAGTTCATGTTTTGTTTTGCTAACCCTGCTGTACACTGTACAGTCCTTGTTTTGCTTTGCTAACCCTGCTGTACACTGTACAGTTCTTGTTTTGTGTTGTTGTCTCTCCCTTAATGCTGTTCATGCACATCCTTGGTCCTCACAGGTAACTTGTTCATTTAATATCAAGTGGTGGTAGCCAGAGAGTAGAAAATATTATAATACATAGTAAAAGTATAATATTCTAGACATTTACACTTTTGAAAAAGCCTTGAACACGATTTATTATTCAAGTGTTACTTTCTCAGACAAGTTTGCATTTAATCCAAAATAATCCGTTTTTCATAATACATCAATACCCGATATTTTAAGTTGTAAAAAACATGTTTAATTACAAATTATAGTATTTATGCGATATCACGCTTCTAATGACGTAGTGGAATAATCTATCAATATCCTCGGGATATAAACAAGGTGTCCCAACTCGTAAACCAACTTTACTTAACTTTAAAAAATACATGAAGGTGACATGATTTTTTTTAATCATAAAAGACTGTAAACGTAATTTCAAGTGAAATCCAGAGTCGCATGTCCAATTTACAACAATACCTTTTTAAGTTCGTATCTCATCAAAGATAATGGTGATAACGATGTTTTTATCTTAAAAATGATTATTTTCAATTTAAATTCTCTATAAAAGATGCAATAAAGAAAAACAAGGAAATGAAATGAAATGAAAACTTGAAACTAAGTCTACACTTCATTTTAATGAAACAAAGAAATATATGAAAATCCATGAATTTTGCTTTTTTCATCAGACAAAAAAAACTTTGATTTTTGTAATGATAATATATTTGTATTCCCGTACTGAAGATGTAAATCCAACAGGAAAAACTCTGTTTTTCGAACCACGAAAATGCATTCTTACTCAGAGCTAAGGCTAAATTAAATGCCACTTGAAATTACGCCGATTGTCCCATTAAATTACTAAATACAGATTAAGTACAGTTGGTTAGTTAATATTCTCTTATTTTTAAAAGGTGTTTGCCCTAAACCTTTTAAAATTCGTGAATATTCCCTTTAAGGATAAGGAGGAGGTGGGTAGAATAGTTAACGGACAAGAGGTAGCACCTGGAGAAAGGCCATATCAGGTAAAATAAACAAAAAAGTACATTTTCAAAAGTTTTATAAAAAATAATTTTTTTATTACTTGTTTTTTTAAGTTTAAGGCTCAACCTTTTTTCTTGGATAGAATTAATTTTAAGGCGACATAATCTTTTTTTAAAATCTGCAAGCAGTTATTACAAAGGTAGTTTTCTTTTGATTGTCAGATTTTGGTATTCATGCCAGTTTTTATTCATAACAGTTGTCTTCCTTCTAAAATAATTTGATCTAGCTTTAATGTATCTCAATAAATCAATAAATCAATAAACAATCGATCAACAAATCAATTAAGAAACCATTAATAGAACAAAACAAGTCAATCAATCAAAAAATTAATCAACCAATAAGTCATTTTTATAATCAAAGAATGAATCAACCAACGAATGATTAAACCATTCCATTAATTGGATCAATTTTAACTGTTTCCTAGGTTTCAGTCCAGATGATCTTTAGTAACAGTGAAACCAGGTAAACAGTTAAATAAACCGTTAAATAAACAGTTAAATAGACAGTTAAATAAACCGTTAAATAAACCGTTAAATAAACCGTTAAATAAACAGTTAAAAAGACAGTTAAATAAACCGTTAAATAAACAGTTAAATAAACAGTTAAATAAACAGTTAAATAAACAGTTAAATAGACAGTTAAATAGACAGTTAAATAAACCGTTAAATAAACAGTTAAATAGACAGTTAAATAAACCGTTTAATAAACAGTTAAATAGACTGTTAAATAGACAGTTAAATAAACAGTTAAATAAACCGTTAAATAAACAGTTAAATAAACAGTTAAATAGACGTTAAATAAACAGTTAAATAAACAGTTAAATAGACAGTTAAATAAACCGTTAAATAAACAGTAAAATAAACAGTTAAATAGACAGTTAAATAGACAGTTAGATAAACAGTTAAAAGTATAAAAAAGTTTTAAAAATGGATGCTTAATTGTATATTTATTATTTGTCTGATAATGTAAGAAAGTATTGGATGTGACAAAATATTACAAGCACAGTTTATTTTAGGTTATTTGTTACCAAAATTGCTTTGTTCTTCTTCATAACTTTTCAATAAGATCAAGGAATTGAGTCTTTGCCACAAACTCTGATTTTATAATCATTATATCTGTGGAGCCAAATGTTGCAGACCTTAGATATTTCAAACTATGAATTCTGTTAGATCAAATAATCTGAGTTTGAACTATCAAAGGTTTACAACTTCGGGTTCTAAAGATATTAAGGTTTAAATATTTGATTTTGTTCCAAAGACTCAATTCCTTATGATTGAAAACATTTAAGATTTTGATCTAGCGTGCAATAGAATTAATTGTTTGACGTACAATTTGTTTATGTTTGGGTAAAACTAGTTTATAACTGTCTTAATACGTCATTGTAAAAGTTAGTTCTATTCTTTGGAAGATTTAAATTTTTTATTATTATCATATTTCAGTTTAATATCGAAGAAATCAGAACACTTCTGTGGAGGAGCCATGATAGCAGAGAACTGGGTTCTTACAGGGATAATAAACAAAGTATATATATATATATAACATATATATAGTAAATAAAAATTATATTTAAAATAAATCAATTATATTGATAAGATATTGGAAAATAATAATTAATAATATATGAATAATAAACCAAATATTTTGATTTATTGAAATTTATTTCAAATCAGAGAATAAAATTAGCTATGATTCACAAGTGATTAAATCGAAGTGAAAGCAAACATTATTTTTTTTGAAAATATTTCCTGAACTTTACTTTACTTTACCAAATATAACTAAAGCGTATGTAAAAAAAGATTTTCTATAATTTGAAAAAGTGATGGTTAGATTTAATTTTCTACTTTTGTTTATTTATGGTAGCGGCGCACTGCATGAGAGACCAAAAGGTGAACCAACTAATTTTTTTTTTAATCATTTAAAATATATTAACTTGCAACTAATAATAATTAACAACATTGTATAAATATTTTCAGCCGGCTTATCTGAAGATTATAACAGGAACTAATGATTTGACAGACACAAATAGTCCAGCTTTCAGTAAGTACTGTACTGTAAATTTAGTCAGTGCTGTACTGTACATTTAGTAAGTGCTGTACTGTACATTTAGTCAGTGCTGTACTGTACATTTAGTCAGTACTGTACTGTACATTTATTCAGTTCTGTACTGTACATTCAGTAAGTGCTTTACTGTACATTTAGTCAGTGATGCACTGTATATTTTAGACTGTACTCCGCTGTGCTGTACATTTTAGTCAGCACTTTGCATTAAATTTAGTTAGTGCTGAGCTGTACATTTTAGTCATAGTTTGCTGTAAATTTAGTCAGTACTGTGCAATACATTTAGTCAGTGCTGTGCTGTACATTTAGTCAGTGCTGTGCTCTAAGTTTTTTACTGTACTGTGCTGTCCATTTGATACTGTACTCTGCTGTTTATTTTTGGCTGAACTATGCTTTACAAGTCAATGCTGTGCAGTATATTTTAGTCAGTGCTATGCAGAGCTATGCAGTGCTGTGTTGTTTATTTTAGCCAGTACTGTGCTGTACCTTTTAATCCGTGCTGTGCTGTAGTGCTGTGCTATAAATTTTAGTCAGTGCTATGTTGTAAACCTAGGTCTGTACACGTACTGTTCTAAGAGACAATAAAATAATTATGAGACAATAAAAGAGACATATTAGATAATAGCAAAACTAGACTGAATTATCTTGTACAATGTACGTTTTCCTAATTATTAATTAGTATTGTACACAATTGTTTGTTATCAAATAAATATATTGATTTATATCAAATTAAATTTTTATCGTCTTGGGAGTTGGCTGTTTTATTATCTCTTATGCAATAAACATTATTTAGTTGAGTCGCATTAATTATATAATTATTCTTCTTTATCTAATTATTAATTAAGTTTTTCATTTACTAATTGCAATAGACTTTACTGTATTCCATTTATTGTTTTTTTTTGTAGCTAGGCAACGTTACACTTATCAAACGCTTTCTCATAAAATGCTGCTTCGATAAAACGGTACCTAATTAAACGCCACTTATATAAAACGCTACCTCATAAATACTAGGTATAAAAATGCTACCTCAATAACCGCTAAAAATATCTAACGGTACTAAATAAAACACTACTTAGTTAAAACAGTACCTCATAAAACTCTACTTGGATTAAATACTTCCTCATAAAACGCTGCCTCATAAAACGCTACCTCATAAAACGCTACTTAGATTAAACGCTTTTTCTCAATGCACACTAAGATAAAACGCTTCCTACACTACTTAGTTAAAAAAGTACCTCATAAAACTCTACTTGGATTAAATGCTTCCTCATAAAACGCTACCTCATAAAACGCTGCTTAGATAAAACGCTTTCTCTCAATGCACACTAAGATGAAACGCTTCCTAAACTATTTAGTTAAAACGTCAGTACCTCGAAAAACGCTACTTAGATTAAATGCTTCCCTATAATTAAAACGATACCTCACAAAACGCTTCCACAGAAAACGCTACCGCATAAAACGCTACTTATATTAAATGCTTCCTCATAAAACGCTACCTCATAAAACGCTACCTAACAAAACGCTGCCACAGAAAACGCTAGCGCATAAAACGCTACTCTCATTAAACATTTTTTTTTACAGAGTGAAGCAAATATTAAGAACACCTTACAACGATATTACCAAGGTAAGCTTTCAGTCGTTCTTGTAAAAGATTAAGGACCATGTCTAACCAAAATCAAACAAACATAAAAATGCAAGGGATATACAATTAAATGAGTAAAGTGGAGTATAGTTAGCAAACTAAGGATCAATGTTATTTTGGAAATCTTAATAATTTTAATTCCCTTTTTGTTTTTGATTTTGTTTTATTACAACAAAAAATAAAGAACTCGTTCTGAATCATGTGTAAATGTTAAGTGTTTCAATATTTGAAATCGTGGAAAGGAAGTAAGTTCTTACCACAGTGACAAACTCCCTATCTTTTTATATCCGATTTTTGTAGACTTTTGATATTTCCAACTATAAATTCTGTTAAAAAAAATAAGTATAAAGGAATTGAGTTTTAGACTCACACTCTAATTTTCAAATCCTTATATCTTTAAAACCTGACGGTGAAAACCTTTGATATTTCAAACTTGATTATTTGATCTAACCGAATTCATAGTTTGAAATATCGGCATTGGATTGGGTAGATATGGGGATTATTAAATCATAGTTTGTGGCAAAGACTTAACTTCTTTAAGATATAAAAGAATGAGAAAATCTGAGTTTGTGGCAAGAAGTCCGTTCTTTTGTTAGATTTTTACTATAAAATCCCTTTTTTTAGTTATTACAATATTAGATGGATGGACTTTTGGATACAAAGCCAATCTATTTATTTGCCTTGAAAATAATTTAGAGAAACGACCTCTCTCTGGTTGAACTTGATATAACATCAAACTCAGAAAATATGAACAGGTATCAATTCTACTATGATTGGACTTTGGAGACGTATAAAAAACTCAAAAATTACCGTCCATTGGTATCAAATAAATCATTCCTTTACTTTTATTTGTTGAGTTTTATCGCTAATCTAATAAGTTTAATCTAAATAAATTCTTTTATTAAAGGGACTGTTCACTTATTTGGGTAATTTGAGGGTAAACTAAATAGCCTGCAGTTAGCTATTCATTGATTAGTCTTACTTTTCAACGACAACTGTGGCGGCCGCAGAAAAAGCCGATTTATCATTCAGAAGGTATGATACTATTTGATGCGCGCTTTTTGTCGTAGTCATGGGTTTTTAAAATTTTTCAAATATTAAATTAAATTCTAGTATCTAATGGTTAATTGTAGATATTTTAAATTTTTTAAAGATTTATTTTAGAATTGTCTATTTTTAAAATAACACTTATCTTAAACATTCGACGGTTTGATACGTTTTCTATACTTCCTAAAAATCCCCGTGATTTATTGAAGAGTAGAATCTAGGAACAGGTTTGTCTGAGAGAAAAAGTGGTCTTTGTATAAATGTGTTAATTTGTTAAATCATGTTTGAACACGCAAAAAGTTAATTTCTTTCAAAAGTTTTATATTTTACTAGCTGCATGAAGGGCCCGGCGATTCCCGTGGGAAAAAATGTTGAAAAATATTTTTAAAAAAAATTTTAGCCTATGACATCCCCCTGGCCCCCCCATGAGTGTCCACAAAAAAATTCAGACCAATCGGTCCAGCCGGCTATGTGCAACATATATACGAATGTCTTGTTTTATTATATAGATCATATAATGGCTGACAGGGCGCGCACATGATGTCATTGAAATATGAATATTTTAGATTTTGGGCTGTAACAGAAAAAATGTTTAAATAGTGTCTATGCAAAGGCATCATACCTTTACCGCTGAAATTCTAAAAGATATTTTAGAATTATAGATAGCTGGAAAATTACTTACTTACTTACTTACTTATAGGCTAATTAGTTTACCATGAAATTACCCAAATAAGTGAACGGACCCTTTAAAATCAATATCCTTGTTTTTTCTTTAACGGGATATTACTTATTTCTAGATGTGGTTTCTCTTTCAATTTAACAGGCGGACAAAGAAAGAAATGTATAAGAAACTCTATTCGTAATTTCAAGTGACTTCCCTTTTAATGAGGAACATACCGGATTCACAACAGTACCCTTTAAACCTTTGACTGATCTCGAGAACAAAGAACTCAGTGTAAATATAAATACTGAGTAAAAAGCCGTAAAATTAAAGTGTACAATGGCGTAATACTGTGTAAACTCAACGCAAATGTCGTTATCCTTGATTAGTCAGATGTTTAAAGGGTAAAGTCTAGTATTCGGGAATTTCGGTTTCTTGGCACGTCCTTGAAACAAGGATGTTCCTTTTTAAATGGAATTTCACTTGAAATAACACTCACAGTCCCTTTAAATCGGAAAAATTAAGTGAAAATATTTCTTGTTTAGAATAAAGGATCATAAATTTGAAAGTGTCAAGGTTTGCAGAGAATCATTTGAACCTCAGGTAGAGTGAAACCCTTAATAACGAATACATCGAAAGAATTCATCAAATGTCGTATTCTTCACTTTCTAATAATGGAATGTTGCAGATATTTAGTTTTTTAATTAAATGATTATATGGAACTCTTTAAAACTGTTCCCGCATATTCATGACTATTTATTTATTTTCGCAAATGCTGAAATTTACGTAATATAGTATAAAAATTGTCAAGACGACATATTTGATAAATTCTTCCGATGTATTCGTTATTAAGGGTTTCACTGTAGTAATATCCATACTGCGCAAATATCAGAAGACTGCAAGCACAATTGCGCATAACAGAATTTCAGAAAAGCAAAATATTACAATTTAAAAAAAATGCTTTCAGCGAATTATGGCATAAAGCGCTGATTTGTTGGGCAAAAATTTAGCGCAACGCAAGCAAATTTGTGTGGTTCTTTTCGCCAAATGTTTTGTGAATGGATATGAAATCGGTGTTGGGATTACGTTTTTTCCACTGCTTTTTCTTTTTCTGAAAGTGTTTTTATACAGTTTAATAAAGTTTTATTAAACCTGAAGATAGCTCTTGAATGTCCACTATGGGATTTGAGTTAGAACTATTCGATTCTTTGTAATTTTAAAAGTTTTTATATTTTCTCTTTCATTTTTAAAATGATTACTGCATTTTAGTAATATTTTGTAATTATTTTTGGCCTTAGTATCCATTTTTTTCGATTCATTGTTTCTTCCGAGGGATTAATCACCTTTTTTAAATACATTTTATAACACGTTTAGGAAGCACTTGAAAAAGTATTTTGAAAGAGAAAAAACATTTAAAAAAGGATCTTTAAACTGAAGAAGAAAACTGAAGAACAAAACTACATTTTAATCTTAATATAAAAATTAAGTATGTATTTAATAATTAATAATTAATATTTGCTAGGGTAAATCCTGTGTTGTGTCAGGGTGGGGGCATCTAAAAGCTAAGGGAAGTGGTATTCCTGACAAGCTTAGGTAAACAGGGACCCTTAGCTTTACTTTACAGGGTGCTTCAGCTAACATGGACCTATTATGTAACTCACTTTAAATCTTCTTTCATTTCTTTAATTTATGCCTCATTCATTCGTTATTTTTACTGTACGTGTTATTTTTACTGTACGTACTAGTAATAAATTACAAAGGAATTGAGTCTTTGTCACAAACTCTGATTTTCTAAACCCTCTATCTTTGGAACCCAATATTGTGTACCTTTGATATTTCAAATTTATATTATTTGATCTAATAGAAGTCTTAGTTTGAAATGTCAAAGGTCTACGACATTGGGTTGCGAAGATATAGGGAAAATCAGAGTTTGTGACAAAGACTCAATTCCTTTTTATTGTTTTTTTTTTTAAGAAAACTGAACATGCCTTATTTATTTCCAACTAAAAACAGTTTGCAAATCTCTAAAGTCGGATGATCTTTATTCAAAAACTCTAATTTAAAGGTTCTAAAACGATTCAAATTTCGTCTGTTTATTCCCACGAAAAGGTGACAACAGCTGCACTTTTTATTCAAAATATATATACTATCATAAAAATTGTATTTTTTTCCTTTCAAAATTTATGAAAATATTGATATTAGGGAAGTTTCTGTTCTTGTTCTTCATGATGAATCTTGTAAAACAATGTTGGAAGGGTTTCCCTGGGATCCAACGACAAGGTAAACAATGATGATGACCAGATAAAATAATTAATGATTGTCGTCTTCTTTCATATAATTTCGAAAAAACGCCGCTATGAATAAATCTTATTTCGAAAATGCACCCTGAAGTTTTGGAAGCAATAAATTAAATAAATAATGAAATAATGAAATAGTTATTAAATAAATAATTATTATTTATTAATTGATTTTTTAGAAACTTTAGAATATTACACATTATTTACTCTAATTATGAAAAAAAGTATTTACAAAAAAATAAATTGATGTTTTTTCTATGTACCAAAAACATTTTTGCATTTGGTTCACTTTATTTAAATATTTGTTCACCTCAAACATGATCCCTGCAAACATTTTTTATAAAACAACGCTTATCTCATCTTTTTACTCACCCTGTATAGTATTTATGCATCTATAATATTTAATGTTGTAATCTCTGTTTGTCTGTTTGTTTGTTTGTCCGATTCCCTGGACCGATTAGCATTAAAATTTTAATTGGGGAACTCGGAAGACCCATGGAAATGTTCTTAGCTTGGTTTTAAGATTCTAAAAGAAGTGGGTTCACTTTTAACAGGAAAAATAACTAAAATCATAATTTACGAAAAAGCGCGGATAAACGGTGGGACTAACTATGAGTCTATGACTCCCCTGGGCAAGGCTGGGTTCCTAAACTAGTTTAAAATGTTTAACTATCTGCAGCACAATGATCTGCGCTGGTGGAGAAGAAGAGGATGCTTGCCAGGTAAAATTAGTAAACAGTGTTTATATAAAACACTTCACACTTTTTTTCTGTCAGATGTCTAATTTTTTATCCGATCATAATGAAATTAATATCACAATGTCCCCGGGATGTTAGGACTATGATTGAAAAAACATTATACGATCATAATGAAAATAATATCACAATGTCCCCGGGATGTTAGGACTATGATTGAAAAAACATTATCCGATCATAATGAAAATAATATCACAATGTCCCCGGGATGTTAGGACTATGATTGAAAAAACATTATCCGATCATAATGAAAATAATATCATAATGTCCCCGGGATGTTAGGACTATGATTGAAAAAACAAATGTCCCCGGGATGTTAGGACTATGATTGAAAAAACATTATCGATTTGGTCGACACTGCTCTGAACAAATGCTCTTTGTCTCTAAGGGATGGAACTGATAAGCAGTAATAGTAGTTTCTATCTATAGATCCCTTAGTTAAAGGGAATGTATGCGTAGTTTCTATAGATCCCTTAGTTAAAGGAACTGTACGCGTTGTTTCTATAGATCCCTTAGTTAAAGGGACTGTACGCGTAGTTTCTATAGATCCCTTAGTTAAAGGGATTGTACGCGTAGTTTCTTTAGATCCCTTAGTTAAAGGGACTGTACGCGTTGTTTCTATAGATCCCTTAGTTAAAGGGACTGTACGCGTAGTTTCTATAGATCCCTTAGTTAAAGGGACTGTACGCGTAATTTCGATCTATTGATCCCTTAGTTAAAGGGACTGTACGCGTAGTTTCTATAGATCCCTTAGTTAAAGGGACTGTACGCGTAGTTTCTATGTATGTATGATTAACAAAGGTACCCTTGAAACCTTAAAGGGATTGTAAGCGTAATGTTTAGTGACTCTCAAAGCAAAGATGGCAATGCCCTTTGAACAACGGTACCCTTAAAGAGACTTTTTGCGTAATTTCCAGTGATACTCCATTCAAAGATCACTCCTGTAGTCCATTAGCGCCTGATCCAATCAGGGTTCAGTCATGTGTTTGTCTATTCTGAACCAATAGAAATGGTATAGCGGTACCATCAATCTCTCTATCTATCTCATTATCCAAGTAAAGATGAATCCTTGAATCGGCGCTATCAGTAAATGGAAGTATTTACTTCTACTGAATGACCGATTAAAAACTGTACCCTTGAAACCTTAACTTAATAAAAAATGTAAAAGATATAATGTTGTTTTTTTTACTCGAAAATGTTTAATTCTGATAATTCCTATTTTCTTTTCTTATGACAAAACAATGTTTCTAACAAAATGGTTTGCATTGTAATTTAACAGGGGGACAGCGGAGGACCTTTAGTTTGCCAGGACGATTCAGGTAAATTAAACTAATAAAGTTCAAAGGATTCCTAAAATTTAAAAGATTCAGAATATACCTGAATTTATGTAATTGAAAGGATTCATAGGATTCAAAATATTCTTCAGATTGTAAGGATTCCAAAGATTCAAAGTATTATTCAGATTCATAAGATTTATAGGATTCAATGGATATTTGAATCAATGCGATTCAAAGGATATTTGATCCAATGTGATTCAAAGGATTCCTCGCATTCATATGTTACAAAGGAATCACTACGAATTGAAAGAATTTAAAAAGGTATTCTAAGGCTTTAAATGATTTTTTTAACTGATAAAAGGATTCAAAGGATTATAAGTATTTAAAGGATTAAAAACATGTAAAGGATACAAAGATTTAGAAATTTAAAAGCATTCAAAGGTTTCAAAGGTTTAAGGAATGGGTTCAAAGAATCCAATGGATTTATATTATTCACAGCCTCACAGTACTCAAAGTAACCAAAAAGAAATTTGGAAATAAAGAAAACATATTGTGCATTAAATAAATATCTGACCCAAATTAACTGTTTGTACCCTAACTAATCGGGACACTTGGTTCAACTACATCTGTAATGTATCAATTTATGTTACATTATGATCCAGATTTCTAATTTTTTTTTCAAATTTTTTTTAAAAAACTAAATTCAGGGTTCAGATTTAAAATCAAGATTTGGAAAATTCAGCATTTTTTGTCTTAAAAGGTATGATCACTGTTTTTAAGGAGTTGAATGTTTGGCTGGAGTGGTTAGCTGGGGTGTAGGGTGTGCTACTCCAGGAGTACCAGGAGTATACACAAACGTCAGGTATGATTAGAAGTGTGTACTCCATTAGTACCTTGGGTATGCACTAACATTTAAAAATAATTAGGGGTGTGTCCAGTAGTACCTGGGGTATGCATTAACATCAAAAATAATTAGGGGGGAGTACTCCAGGAGCCCAGGGGTATACACTAACATCAGGTATAATTATGGGGGGTTAACTCCAGAAGTACCGGAGTTATACACAAACGTCAGGTATAATTAGGGGGGTGTACTCCAGTAGTACCCGGGGTATACACTAATATCAGGTATAATTTCGGGGGTGTAGTCCAGTAGTACCAGGGGAATACACAAACGTCAAGTATAATTAGGGGTGTGTACTCCAGTAGTACCAGGTGTATACATACACTATCATAAAAAGTTATTAGGGGGGCTTACTTCACAAGTACCAGGGCTATACACTAACATCACTTATAATTAGGGGGTTGTACTCCAGGAGTACCAGGGGGTATGCACTAACATCAGGTATAATTAGGGGGATGTGGTGTACTCCAGGAGTACCAGGGTTATGCACTAACAATTGGTATAATTCGGGGGGTGTACTCCATAAGTGCCAGGGGAATACACTAACATCAGGTACAATTAGGGGGGTGTAGTGTACTCCAAGAGTTCCAGGGTTATGCACTAACATTAGGTATAATTCCGGGGGTGTACTCCAGTAGTATACTCGGGGTATACATTGACATCAAGTATAATTAGGGAGTATGTGACATAGAAATTTAATTTAAAATACTTTTTCAGAAAATACGTTGATTGGATTGAGAAATCTATGCAGGAAAGCTCTGAGCCATCTTCAACCGAGGAGAATTTGGCTGGAAATGGGTCGGCAATTACAAATTATCCACATCATGTTGTTTTAACAGTTCCGGAAAAACTATAACTATTCACTTTGGAAATAAATAAAATCAATTGGCAATTAAACAGTTCATTCTATAGTAATTAAGGAAAGTTTAAATTTTGATATTATAATATTGTGCACACTGTACAGCTGGTAATCAAAACCCTAAAAATTTCGAGGGTCTAAAGATAATATTATCTTAAATTTATAAAAATCAGACATATACGCACTTGATGAATTTCTCAGTTTATATCGGAATCTTCGAAGACGACATTTAAAATTACAAAGACGACCTTAAAGTTGTAAGAAAAGTTTAATGTTTTATACAAATAAATTGGTTGAAAGGATGAATAGATAGAAGTAAGTATGAAAAGATTGATGATGGATGGATGACTGGAGTATGAAAATATGGTAGATGGGATGAAAAGATGGTAGGAAGTGTGAAAATGGATGAAATAAGATGGCAGAAATAATAAAAAGATGGTTAGAAGGATAAAAAGATGGTTGGGGTTGGGAGGATGAAAATATGGTAGGAAGTGTGAAAAATGGATGGTATGAAATGGTTGGAATAATAAAAAGATGGCTGGAAGGATAAAAAGATGGTTGGAAGGATGAAAAGATGGTAGGAAGTGTAAAAGTGGATGGAACAAGATGGTAGGAATAATAAAAAGATGGCTGAAAATATAAATGGAAGGATGAAAAGATGATTGGAAGGATGAAAAGATGGTTGGAGGGATGAAAATATGGATGAAATGATAAAAAGATATCTTGCTAAATGAAGGATTGTTTAATTATGGATTGAAAAATAAATGAATGAAAACATGATGGGCAGGATATTGAAGGAAAATAAGAAAATGTCTGGGGAGGGTTAATCTAAGGATCATGGTTTCAATCAATAATTATCTCCGGTGTCTCCAGGATGTTATTGAAACCTGGAGAACAAACCATCAAATTATCTTGAAATTATATCTAAACAAACAGGAAAGGACTATCTAGGATTCATTGATATGTTGGTAAATTACTTTTGTTGGTTTTTCAAACGGGTTACATTGGATATAACCAATAGGTTAAGTTCTATCCCAAAATAACATATTTTAAGAAATATTTTTTGCGTCAATATTACAGCTTTAAATTATTTACAACAAATTAAAATAGAGGAATATAAATGCATGAAAGTTTCCAAAATATTCACGTTGATTATAAGGTTTTTTGGACTCCCCCCCCCTACTTGGGCTGTACAGTGATCCTAAGTAAATTATGTTAATTGAACCTATTTTGGTATTTTTGGTTTGAATGCTTAAACTACTTTGACTATAGATGGTGACCTCCCACACTCAAATACCCCTGTTTAAAGAGACTACAGACGTATTTCAAGTTTAAACAGACTGTAGACGTATTTCAAGAGTAAAGAGACTAAAGACGTATTTCAAGAGTAAAGAGACTGCAGACGTATTTCAAGTTTAAAGAGACTACAGACGTATTTCAAGTTTAAAGAGACTACAGATGTATTTCAAGTTTAAAGAGACTGCAGACGTATTTCAAGTTTAAAGAGACTACAGACGTAATTCAGGTTTAAAGAGACTGCAGACGTATTTCAAGGTTAAAGAGACTGCAGACGTATTTCAAGGTTAAAGAGACTGCAGACGTATTTCAAGTTTAAAGAGACTACAGACGTATTTCAAGATTAAAGAGACTACAGACGTATTTCAAGTGTAAAGAGACTACAGACGTATTTCAAGTTTAAAGAGACTGCAGACGTATTTCAAGAGTAAAGAGACTACAGACGTATTTCAATTTTAAAGAGACTGCAGACGTATTTCAAGTTTAAAGAGACTACAGACGTATTTCAAGTTTAAAGAGACTGAAGACGTATTTCAAGTTTAAAGAGACTGCAGACATATTTCGAGTTTAAAGAGACTGCAGACGTATTTCAAGTGTAAAGAGACTGCAGACGTATTTCAAGTGTAAAGAGACTACAGACGTATTTCAAGTTTAAAGAGACTGCAGACGTGTTTCAAGTTTAAAGAGACTGCAAACATATTTCAAGTTTAAAGAGACTGCTGACGTATTTCAAGTTTAAAGAGACTATAGACGTATTTCAAGTTTAAAGAGACTGCAGACGTATTTCAAGTTTAAAGAGACTGAAGACGTATTTCAAGTTTGAAGAGACTGCAGACATATTTCAAGTTTAAAGAGACTGCAGACGTATTTCAAGTGTAAAGAGACTGCAGACGTATTTCAAGTGTAAAGAGACTGCAGACGTGTTTCAAGTGTAAAGAGACTACAGACATATTCCAAGTTTAAAGAGACCGCAGGCATATTTCAAGTGTAAAAAGACAGAAGACGTATTTCAAGTTTAAAAAGACTGCAGACGTATTTCAAGTGTAAAGAGACTACAGACATATTTTACGTTTAAAGAGACTGCAGACGTATTTCAAGTTTAAAGAGACTGCAGACGTATTTCAAGTTTAAAGAGACTGCAGACGTATTTAAAGTTTAAAGAGACTGCAGACGTATTTTAAGTTTAAAGAGACAGCAGACGTATTTCAAGATTATAGAGACTACAGATGTATTTCAAGTTTAAAGAGACTGCAGACGTATTTAAAGTTTAAAGAGACTACAAACGTATTTCAAGTTTAAAGAGACTGCAGACGTATTTCAAGATTAAAGAGACTACAGACGTATTTCAAGTTTAAAGAGACTGAAGATGTATTTCAAGTTTAAAGAGACCCCAGACGTATTTCAAGAGTAAAGAGATTACAGAGGTATTTCAAGTTTGAAGAGACTGCAGACGTATTTCAAGTTTAAAGAGACTACAGACGTATTTCAAGTGTAAAGAGACTGCAGATAATGCAGAGGGTGGGTAAGTTGAAATTTCGTGTTTCAATAAAAAACATAACCAAAAAATGTTTTCCTTATTACATACTTTTACAACAAGGTTAAAAACTTGCTGAAAATTTCCTAATCTATTTAATAGAAATGTAGAAAAACCTCCTCTTTTTGGCATTTATGTTATAATATCTCTCCAAACAACCCATTTTTCACGTACAAAAGGGAATGTGAATGTTTTAACCCATTAAATCAATAAAATAATATTATCAATCAATCAAGTTTAAGATTAGTATCTGACATTTTCCTCTCTAGTCCATGAAGTTTTGTTAAAACATTTTAAGGATTTTAGAATTTGTTAAAACTGTTGAAAATACTGAAGATAAGCATGAATTCTCAGAGATAACTTGGAAACCTATTATATTGGTTTAGATAACCTTTTATTGGACCTTTTAGGACAAAGCACATATTTTAACCCCCCCTCCTCCCCTCTTCGAAAAATTCTTAAACATTATTCCAACCCACCCAAGTTGTTTTGCCCGCCCTATAGGACCCGCCCCCCAGGTCCCACGGATACGAAAATTAAACCAATATTTCTCTCTGTTTACATTTTCCATTGATAATTATTTGCCGGGGTTTAATCACGTAAAGATATATGATGGGGGGGAGNGATATTTTAAAGTGTAACTACTAACTATACTGTAAAAAGCTTCAATATTATTGAAAATGTATTCAGCGTTTAGTTTCTTAAAGTCAAGTTGTTAAGTTAATTTTCATCAATTTTATTGCTTATAATAATACTATAATATGATGTAAGTGACCTATTTTGGAAAGTTCTTGATAAACGTGTTTCCAATGTTTTTGCTGCAGCGCTTGGCCCTCCTTGTACGTCCTTAGCTTATTTATCTTCAAGAAAATTCTATGCGCAGCACTGGGCCCCTGGCTTATCCTGTCCCCAACCCTTGGCCCTCTCCTAGCACACGCCTTAGACGCAGTACTCGGCCCTTAGCTTTCCCTAGACGCAGCTGGTTTATAGTAAAGTTTTAGTCCGAATTATCCTCATATTTTCTATCCCAAGTTGACATTTTTATTTTGTAAAATTTATCTAAGGATTATATCTTCATATAATTGGGGAAGTTGCACTTGGGAAAGTTTGTAATCCCTGTTTATATACGATAGGCTTCAGAATATGTTTATCTTTTATTTTTGTATTCCAAATATTTAAAAACAATTCTAAATATTTCAAATCTAAAATCTGTAAAAAAGAACCGACGTTAAACCTTCTGCTGCCGCAATGCACACATCCCTTGTAAACCATCTGACTCTTTCTGTTTTAGACACGCATACTCATAGACATAGACACGCATACTCATAGACATAGACAGAGACACGCATACTCATAGACATAGACAGAGACACGCATACTCATAGACATAGACATAGACACGCATACTCATAGACATAGACACGCTTAGATACTGAGATATACAGACATGCATAATTCATAGACAAAGATAAAGAGACACTATCAGACACAGAGTTAGCGACATGGGAAGACAGGACGCACTTTGACATTGAAGAAGTGAGAAAGACAATTTTAACCACAGAAAAAGAAACAGAGAGAAAATAATATTTCGCACCACAGAAATTTAATTTAGAAACAGAGACAAAACAAGATATATTCCGGGACATAGAGATAGAAACAGAGATAGGGATAGAAACAGAGATAGAGATAAAAACAGAGAAAGTGACAGTAACAGAGATAGAGATAAAACAGAGATAGGGATAAAACAGAGATAGGGATAAAAACAGAGATAGAGATCAAAACAGAGAAAGATACAGTAACAGAGATAGAGAAAGAAACAGAGATAGCGATAGAAACAGATATAAAGAAAGAAACAGATAAAGATAAATCACCTAAAAGAGATGCATAGACAGAGAAAGAGAAATATTTAGATAGCCACTGAAAGAGAAGCATTGCCAGCGAAAGAAGTAGAGATAGAGATATAAACAGAAATATAAAGCATTTATTGACAGAAAAGTTACAAACCAAAAAAAAAGAATCAGAAACAGAGATAGATGATAAGCTGGAGAAACTGAAACAGACTTGTAACGCATGCAGACAAAGAACGAAATCTTACAATGCTAGATCATACATGAATATATAAAACTATTCCTCATATCCAGAGACTGAACCGATAATCTTTTTGTTTCATAATTATCTGTGAATGATAATCACTATTTGATTTTATCA